AAATGAAAAACTCCTGTTTGTATTATTTTCAATTAAACCTGATTTGTTGTTATTTCCTTTGATAAGTGATGATGACGTGTCACTGTGTGTTGGACAGGACACTGTGTTATACCTGTCAGTAAACAGAGAACAGTACAATTTGTTTGCGTCTCATGATTAAAGTTGTTTTACAGAAAAAAGCACAAGTGGAGTTGGATTTTCTCTGCACCCTGGTTCTCCTTTCCTAACTCCTCACGACTTCTCCTTCTCATCTTTCCTTGACCCAGTGAAGTAGTCAAAGATTTTTATTTATTCAATTTGTCTGTTCCATGTTGTTTTAACTTCAAGTTAATGACTGGCTGTTTTTTCTTGCATGTTTCAGTCTGTGTTGTAGGTTCACTGTGCAAACGTAGACCTACGAGACAAAGCATTCTCATCAATGTAAGTATTTATCTCACCTGTGTGTGTTGAGCAGCTGAAGACAATGAGGTGACCTGATGAGAGAGGCGGAGACCAGAGCAGTGAAAAGGCCCCAGTGTGGGACAGCGTCTCACTGGGAGTCACTCCTCAGTCCAGTCTCCTTGTCTCCACATGTGCTCAGAGTTCTGATGTTTTAGTTTGTTGGTCTTCAGTCGTCCTGTTTTCTTTCTTTGACAGATTGTGTTTCTCTCTCCTCTGTGTTGTCTGGCTCTGTAATTTCCTCTTCTGTTCTTTATGGCTGAGATCTCCACCTCATTTTGTTTCTTGATTTAATTTGTTTAGAATAAAACTTGTACTGATCACGACACTTTCTAAAGATGTGTCCAGTCGAGCCTTTGTTTGTTTAAAGAGGCTGTGACAGAGATGCAGCATCTTTTACGTAAACAGTTTGTTTCTGTCAGTTTAGCCACAAACTGGAGTCAGAGACGTTTCAAACAGATCAACACGAAACAGAGCTGATTATTATCTGGTGGGCAGATATGCACTGCTCCAAAAACTGAAGGGAACACTTAATGGTCCCAGTAAAACTTCAGGGACGTCAATGGACATCTGTCCATTGAGGAAGCACAAGTGATTGAGCATCAGTTTCACCTGCTTTGGTGCAAATCAAGCAAAAGCAGAACGACCACCACGTAATTTCAATTTCATATATAAGCAATAGTTTGTATTTGTACACATTTCTATCTTTGTTTATATAGTATTTTTCATTTATTACCTTTACTGAGTATTTCACTATTCCCTATACTGTAACACAGTAAATGTCCCCGTAGAGGATTCATAAAGAACTGTCTCATCTATCTACACATGTACATGTACATCATCACACCAGAGCAAAGAACAGACACGTTTATACCTGTAGGCATTTATTAAATATCAAAACATGTTAAATTACACTTGACCTCACTGTTCAACACAGTTTTGTTTTTTCTAAAAAGTCATGAGACCAGACAGTGCAGCTCAGACACTGAATAAAATACTGACGACCTGAGCGATCGGGTCCAAGGTCTCATTCGCTGTCTCAGTGCGTCGTGTCTAAAAGCTGAGTGTGAAACCCTGAGAGAAGTCATGGCACACAGGTGACAGATTCACAGATCAACACACAATCAGTCAGTGCTGTTACCACCAAGGTAAAATTCAACATTACAATCACATGTGCCGAGTATCAGAGGACCGACGGGGACGGTCCCATCACAGACGCAGGAGGGACATCAGTCCTGACAAAGTGTTTGTTATTTGTGTAAATAAAATATAAACTCTGTGTATTGCTGTGTTTGATTACTTTGTCAGTTGTCACCTTCATGACCTCGTGTCTGCTGACAGATTAAATGGCACGTCCACAGTTCAGTCCAACACATGTAAACATCACATAAACTTCATCCTTTCAATTTCAGCTTGAGCTTCAGGTCCATGATGTGTTTTTATCAAAGTGTGTGAAGTAGTTTAAACGCAAACAAGACAGGTCCAAAACAAAAAACAGCGGGGGTGGTATTAATGCGACTCTCCGGAGATACGATGCCTCACGACTTCAATCATTAGTAGTTAGTTGTGACTTTCAGTGCAAACATGATTAGAAGCGACAGACGACACCAAACATCCACAGCGACATTTGTGTTATTAATAAAAACATTTGCCTTTTTATTCTTCTCGTTCAGGCTAAAATATCTTTGAAGTGCTTCATAAAACTGGCAGTGGTTGTCACAGTCGTCGCACAAACATTTTGTTTAAAAAAATTCGACCGGACCTGAAGAACGTCAGTGATTTGATCCCTCTGTGTGTCATTGATGTTGAGAATGTTTTTAGTCAGCTGATGTGGGGTCAAATCCCGACACCAGTCACGGGGGAACAACACCAGACCTCTCTGGCGTCCATGTGGCGGTCTGAGCCTCCGCTCGTCAACAATACATCACAGGGATTTTATTGACTGTACGCGAAACCTGGTTTTACCCAGAGGCGACAAACGTAGGTTCACAGGAGTAGAGGCGTGTGCTCTCCTGCCGGCTCCATGCGCCTGGTGAGCTGCCGTGCTCGGGCCAGCAGGCGGTTGGGCAGCGGGGGGAAGTGGTGGCTCGGGTCCAGGACGTTGGTCCTGCGGCGCTCCCGCTCCTGCAGCCACATGAGGTACGGGCTGGGCGGGAAGAACGGCCGCGAGCTCTCGCGGTAGAGCTGCAGGACGATGCCGCTGACGCCGAGCACCACCCACACTGTGATCATGATGTAGTCTGGTTGATGGGAGGAAGACACACAAGTAAAAAACGAATGAATGTGAGTCCAGTACTGAGTTTGTTTGTGTTACGGAGTTTAAAATCCTTTGTTTGGTTTCAGTCGTGAACTCACCGATGGTTTGGAACGGCACGTCTGTGAACACGGCGCTGAAGTTGTTGTTCTGCAGGCGTTTGAGGATGTTGAGGGTGATGAAGGAGAGGCTGGTGTACATGTAGGCGTTGACGGCCAGAATCACAGCGTAAGCACCGACGACGCCACATGTGGTGATGTTGCCCTGAAACGATTTGATTGTTAAGCATCACGGATGAAACACAAAAACTATTTATAGGAAAATACAAAAAAATAAGTTTAGTTAGGTTTAAATAAGATTAGTTTTAGTACTTTTCACAATGACTTCACAAATCACTGAAGACTGTTAAAGGAGTAGTTCAACATTTTGAGAACTATGCTGGTTCGCTTTCTTGCTGAAATTTCCTCGAAAAAAATCCATTCCTCTCTCGTGTCTTGTGATCAGGGTGAATGTGAAAACGATCATTTACCATTTTACGTGCTGTGACTATTTCTTGACCACATGCCGGAGCCTTGTCATTATAAAATGTTGACTTCCTGCTTGAGCAGACAAATGCAATGTGGTGTGTTCATTTGTGAGCTGTAGAGGCAACAGTAGAGAAACGTTTGTTACCTTCAGACAGAACCAGGCTAAATGTTTCCCTTTCTCTGGCTAATGACAGTCAAACTCTAAATATCTCATCATTCATATTCGTAATCCTTTTCTTGTGCTTGATATATTTTTTGCTAAATTTCATATTTCAAGATTTATGCAAAAAACACACCTTGAATATGTGTTGGTCAAGAAACCCTGATTCTCAGTGTATCCACTAATGATGCTAAGTTAAGCTAATCACGTTTTGTCTTATTCTTATCATACAGACTTGAGAGGTGTTCAAAAATCAAAACATGAATAAGACAAGTACAGTAAATCTGTTTTTAATAATGTTTAACTTATTTGAAGTTATATTATATATGTTACTACTACTATCTTTAATAATAATAACGATTATTACACAGTGCTTTGCAATAGGGAATTTGTCAACTGCCAAATCCCCATCCCATTTTCAGCCGGGTCACTGGAACAAACAAAAGTACACGCTGCCTTAAAAGTCAAAAGCTTAAAATGGAATCCAAAACAGACTGGGAGTCAAGAAAAGATTAAGTCATGAACAAAGGCTGCTGCAATAAACCAGATGTGATGACGGCGTGTAGAATGGTCTCTGTGTCTTTAAAAGTTAAAAAGGATTGTAGTTCTCAGCTCAAAACCTAAATTGCTGTCAAACCAGACGTCAAGATTACAGACGCCCACCCAGCATCTTATAAATGATTTGGTTTGGTGGTGATTGCAGTAAAACACAGCCACTAGATGGTGCCGAAGTGAAGTCATGAAATCCTTCGAACGCTGTGGTGAGTGGTTTTAAATGTTAAATCAGTTACCTCTCTGGGCCATCGCACAAAGAAGAGTGGAACGATGACCAGGATGCAGCAGAATGTCACCCAGAAAACCACGTCCGAGTTCCTAAACACGTCGATGTCACCTGGAGAAACATCACAACACACAGGAAGTACAATTATTCAAGCTTTTACTGTGAGTGCGGCTGCTGTGGATCTGTTTGAGGGGCCCACACGCTACTTTTTTCATACCCAGAGGAGTGAAGAGGACAGTTGAGGCGATGAGGAAGCCGAGCATCAGGCCGACCACGACGATGCAGACCATGACAGAGCCGAAACGCCACCAGCTCATCACCAGGAGGACCCCGCCCACCACGCCAATCATCGCTGACAAGACCAGACGGACTGCGGGGGGACGGAAAACAGACAAGGATCAAGAAGAGGGTTTTTATTTGGGATGGACTGTAGCAGTGCTGCAGCAACTGTGTGTTTTGATAATACTGCAGGGGGCACCAAAGTCACATTATGACTTTAATCAAGTGATGAGACAGAAGTTGAAAGACTCACGGTCATAGGTCAGGTCTGTCGTCCTGGTGATCAACACGAAGAAGAAAAATGCCGCGAAGCTGAACCCCATACAAAACAACTCTGTTTGACAAAGAGGAAGAGGAGAAAAGAGGAAGCAGAGGAACAGGCAGAGGAAAGAAAACGTTATGACCGGAGCGAAATATTCTGCTGCTGGAAGTGGAGACCACATGGTCCTGGATAAAATACTGAGACACGCTGCATCATGTCCCCTCACTCGCTTTTATCACAGCTGCTGGCAACATCCCAGTCATGGGTTTGGGTTTGGAACAAATACATTTCATCATCTCATGCGGGAGAGATCACATGAGAGGCGACCTACTGCTCCAGCCTGATAAGCTGAGTTTCTGAGGATATCATCCATTCTCAAATGAACAAAGAAAACACGTATGGGACTAAGTTGAAGTTGTTTATTAAACTGCATCTGCACCACGTCTGCTGGTCCTGAAGTGAACTGTGACTTAACAAAATTAGATTTAGGAGAAACTGAACTGTTTCCCATTCTTTAAAATGAACTGGAAGAAACTTATCAAGTGTGTGGACTTTCAATAATTAGCAAGTATATAAAATCAAAAACTACATGTTTTAGAATCACCTTCACACAGTGTAATGACACTGATTTCAAAAGTGTTGTGTATAGTTTCTCCTGCTGCCAGATTCTGTTCACATAATAGAACCAGAGCTGCTCTCTGAGATCAACTGAACGGCCGTCATTTTCCTGAATTCATGTCTGAGCACCAGAAACAAGATGTACTTCAAATCACAAAGATTTGATTTCACTCTGGTTTAGCTGTCAATGTGTATTTAAACTTAAATTCTACAAAATATCCTGCACACACAGAACTAAACGCACATAGATGAACCCTGGAATATTAATGCTCTTCACGGGAATATGAAAGACATGAACATTATGATATCAGCATAATAATAATCACATAACGATCATCGTATTCACTCACCACATTTGAAGAACCGATGCCCAAAGAAGCAGACAAACAGGCCCACCAAGCCAGTGATGGTGAAAAACACTTTCGTGGATATTTTTCCTGAAAATAAAGATATGAATGAATAACTATATTCAGACCTAGTGTCAGCTTACATCTGGAACAGGCTTCCTGCCATTAATGAGAGGCTTTGTTTATTAAAGACGAGTGAAGAGATGTTTTAATATCAAGAGATTATACATCTTTTTCTTTTCGCCTGAACTACAGCAGTTCTTTACATTCTATACGACTAATGAACAAATGATTTAAAGTACAGAATATATATGTACACAATACATGATAAAACATACAGTTTGCAATATCGCAAGATTTGTATTCTTAAATATTTTGAATTCTTTTAGTGATTAATTCACTTAATTACAGGGTTTTTACAAACTTGTTTTTATTGCTGAAAGAATTTGAAGCATACATGATGAAGTGATGTAATTATGAGACCGCACATTTAATTCTATGTGAATCACACAGGAACTTACCCAGAGTTTCACAACTGTCCAGGGTGGAAGCGAAGCTGCAGGCGTAGGTGTGGACGGGGATGTAGGAGGCTGAGGTGTTCAGCAGAGGGTCTCTGACGATGACAGAGTAGATGACGCCCTGGCCGGGGATGGAGTTGAACACTGCCATGCTCATATCTGTAGATAACAACGTCATGACCTGCAGGGAGACGGGCGCGGCGAAGCTGTCAGTTCTTGCGGTTTGTCTTTGTCATTAAAGGTGTTTAACGGTGCTTACCCGTTTGCCGTGCGCCATCATGCCCTGGGTGTCAGCCATTTCCTGGATGCCGCGGAACAGGCTGCTCTCTAATAAGTCATTCTCAGGCAGGAAGTACTGGTAGATGTCATACTGCAGCCGCCAGCGCGTGGTGGGTTCTGTCGATTCGTCGCAGAGTGGAGGAGTGTCACCTCTGACAGAGAGCGGACACAGTCAGGACAAATCAAATCAATTCTAATGTGAGGCTCTTTTCTCGTGTGAGTAACAGAGAGTGAGAGGCTGCACTGTCTCGCCCGTGTGCACGAAACTCGGTGAACAGGGAGAGTTTTTAAACTCTTCCCCTGAGCGGAGTTCACCGCAGGCCAGACACTGCCCAGCTTCGGTAAACAAGAGTCTCTGTTAAACTTAATGTGATAAGTGGGTTTGAATGTCATCTAATGGAAGAGAGAGAGAGGGAGAGGGAGAGAGAGACAAAGAGAGCATGAGAACCAGAGGAGGAGAGGAGAGAGAGAGTTGGTCAGTGGGAGGACACCAAAACCAAAACTTAACATCATTTGGTTTTTATGTGATCTCATTCTTGTGGTGTTTTTGTTGCCACACGTGTGAATCCAGCACTTGACAGTAACAGTGCACTAAAACACCTCACACACACTCACACACGCACGCACACAGACACACACACCCCTACTGTATGTATCGAGCTGAAACTTGCTTTCTTTCACACCTTTCAATCACACTAACTCTGTCGTGCTGCTACAGTATCTTGGTCAGGAGTTGCGGGGCTCGCGTCACATCACAGACCTCGATTAGATTACTAGCGGGCTAAATACCTACAGCCAATCAGAGCGCAGGACAAGGTAAAGGTACATATAGCGGTGAGGTGCCTCCTGACTTTTGTATATTGCTTTTTTTTTAAAAGTACAAAAAGACATTTGATACCAGGCTGTGTCTGTGAGCATGAGCCACACAAAGTAAAACATTTATGTGTGTCAAATCTATAAGTAATTATATTTTTTAATAGCAAAGTTGAGAGTTTTCATGGTTTTCCCATTTCTATACAACTCTGATGTGACGTCCATTGAAGCGTTTCACCTCTTCAAGCCTGACGTGTCATTTTATGGATTAGTCAGACTCACTGTGTCTCCTCTCATGTGTTTTTCGATGATACATAACTTGAAGACCAGATATACTAGTCGGAGGATTCTCCGTTGGGACAGTTGTATGGGGGGGGGCAATGATTGTGTAAGTGTGACCAACTCCAAGTAATGAGTGTAAAACGTTGTGTTTGTCAGTTCAGAGAGTAGAATTAGCTGCAGTGATTTGGTCGGTGGATGTTTTGACACTGAAACTGCAGGAATCAACACTGCTACTCCATGTTTGACACGTGTTTAATGAATATGACGCCGTGTTTGACGTGTGCATGTGGAGTTTCAGTTTTTAAAATCATCACCTGATACTAAAACATTAACGCAGTGAGCCATGTCGAACAAGTAGACTTTCACACTAAGCGTGCAAAGTGATCGAAGACGCTTAACAAAGACACTAGTATTTGTCCAAACAGCTTCTGGTAATGAGCTGAAAACTAAATTTGCCACATTGTAAGCATGCTGTTTGGAATTTCTAAAAAAAAAATAGGTGTCTCACTGTTTTGACAGCTGGTCAGCTGCATAACCTCTGTGGTGAAGAGCTGAGAAATAAAACTAGATGAGTCTGTACAGCTTCACACTGGCAGGTAATGACAAACAGGAAATGACTTGACAAGTGTAGTAGTCCTCTGATTATCTTTGCTGCTTTTTCCATCACAAGGGAAAAATAAACTGAATTAGGCGACGTGCCCAATCGTTCGCTCGCGCCAAGACAGAGGCCAGAGGTTTTCCCCCTCAGGGTCGCAGCAGTCTGCCGCTCATGACCAGTAGACTGTAGATCAGCTGACTGCCACTGCTCTCAGTGGGTCAGACGACCTTACTCACAAAGCCTCATTCATTAAACAGCAGTAAGACCATGTTCACACAATGAAATGTACTTTCAATTAGTTTGTTTCTTTTTGATTTAACTGAAAAATTAAACGTGACTTTTCACCATGCCCAAGCTGACTTTACTGCGTCTATCCCACATGTTCAGAAGATAAGAATAACCAAATGCTGAACTCGTCGCAGTCTATGCCAAGCATGTATGCACTTTGATGTGGGCGGGAAGGGAACGGAGCTAGCTCGGCTGTTGATATCATCAGTCTCATCGCAGTTTAGCAGAACTTTATCTGTAACCTTTCAGTTCACTGTAGCAATACATCAGCCCTGCCAGACCAACAAATATTTACCTAATCTGAGGAGAAACGGGTCCAATACGCCAAAGTACCTAATTCCATTTGTGGCAAAGTTACTCCGGTGTTTTGTGCAAATATATAACCATGTGAAATTTGTCATGGATTATTTCAAATACATTCATGAAGGGAGTAGGAAATGTGCCAGACTGTATAAAACATACATAGAAAAACCTTGTTATGTCTTTGTTTTAATACAGCTATAGTATTCAAATTTAGAGTTTATAGTGAGCTTAAAGGAACAGCTTTGAGAAAGAGTAAGGTGAGACAATTATCAGTTTAATGCTGTGGCACTAAAGAGGCAAGTCAATACTTTCTCACCCTGTTGTAGGAGAGGGTGACGTTGCGATGCTGCGTGTGAAACTGCAGAGTGATGAACGCAACCTCGGGGGGGATGCGGGATACAACGGCCTGCACCGTCTCATTCTGTGAGAGGCTCACGTTCTGGAACGTTCCTGGCAGGAAAATCACACGGTCTGTGGCAGAGAGGGAAGAAGTTCTTATTTATTCCTCTGCAGTAGCCTGATTGCAACAAGTGGCGTTTCAACCACTCATCTACACCATCATCATGTACCCTCCGCTCGACTCTGTGTGATGTTTGTTCATTAAACAGAGTCATTTTGTTATGCATTTGATACCAGACATAATAAATCAACTATTTTCTCTAGTCATGACAATAAACTAAACCCATGCAACAAAATGTTATTGTACAATAGGTCAGAGCTGGAAAATGTTTCCGATTAGTCAGTTAATCAGATGCTCAGTAGTTTGCTGTCTCGATAAAAACATAGAAAATAACTTCAGATGATTCTGGACTTAAGGCACAGCTACTCACTGCCCTCATACTAAGACTCTCAGTCCTCATACAATAACTCAGTTGTATTGCATTAGTCTTATTCTGTGACTGCGGTCTCTACTGAGTTTATCCAATACGCCATAGAGCTACGCCAACTTCACACCATCACAACTCACTTTATTAGTCAGACAGGAAACAGGTACAACAGTGATTCAACACACTAGTCATAGTTTTCTGATTTACATCTTCAACACACTGTTGTCTGTTTTGTTGGAAAAAGCAGAAGAGGAAATATATAGTCATTGCAGGCAGCTACAATCACAATGGCTGTTAAGTTAAAGAGCAAAAAAGAAAAGGTCTTGCGGTTCACCGCTTTGAGTAAGTGATAAATTATAAAAAGGAACTTAGCTAACTGAATACAGCTACTCACTGCAGAGCATGTAACCAAGACAAATGTGAGGTGATAATTTTTTTCCCATAGAAATATCTCCTGACGTTCTGTTCTGTAATACTGGGGAATGTTATCATGGTTATTATTCAGTAATATGATAATTATTTCTGGTCTGTGAAGCCACTGACTGACCATTAAGCTACAAGTCAACTTTTCACGAAAGATGCTTCCAGTTAGTTTTATTCTCCCTGACATTTTATTTAAATTTGAAGAACAATTGCAACTTTCAGTGAAATGATCAGTCAGTCATATTCTTTTAAACTGCAACTATTATCTGTTATCTAATGATCTTTGCTCTGGCCAATAACGTTAAAGAAACATCTTCCACTGACCATCTGCCTACTTTTTTTCTCTTGTGTTCCTTTCTATTTCAACTAAAACAGAAATAATTAATTAACTACAGATGTATTAACTCTTGCATGACCACTGACAGTCAATCTGAGTGGAATGTGTGCATAAGCAGTAACATTTGATCTGTTGTGTAACACCATGGCTGCCAAGTAAACTACAGTTTATCTGGAAAGCTTGACATATAAGCACAGGATATTTTCCCCTCAAGATATTGGCCCCTCAAGACACCTATTCTTCATCTTAAGTCGACACTGTCACTCAAGACTGACCTTTCACCGCTGTTTATCTTTTGCTGATCACTTTGATTTATTTACGTGGTTGCTGTCTTTAGTAGCAGTGTGTACAGCACATAACTTGCACAACATGACCTATGACCTTTTTGAAATACCTACAACCCTTTTATCACACTTGCCACCAAAACGTGTAACAGACAGAGAAAAATAAACAAAAAATACTATACTGCACGATCATATGCATGTACTTATTGTATTTGATATGTGTGTTTTTCTCTTGTGGGAAGTGCGAGAATCTCAAGTATTAGAGCTAAAGCACTAATGCAGGAGATTAGTTGCTGGTTACACGTGCTGCCTGATCCATACACTTTTCTGTTTGCTGGTCAGACTCCAGCTCAGGAACAATCTGCTGCCTTAATGTGTCTCACACCTGAATGAGCCGAGAATAGCTGTGTATAGCTGTGTCAATGTTGAGGTAATAATAGATAAACACTGGTAGAATACTGAAAAGATATCAAGCAGTCAGTGATGGTAAGATGGGAACTCCTGACATAACCATGACAACAAGTTTTGCTCTTAAGTAAAAACACATGGAATAGTTTCCTCTTGAAAGGTTCTGGTGGCTTTAAGAGCCTCTAACACTGAAATAATTTCTTTAGTCTCAGTTTCAGAGTGTAACGCTTCTCCACTCTGGCAAAAAAAAACCATTTGGAGTGAAAACACTGAATACTTGTGAGGAAATGACAATAATCTAAATCAACAGCATAGATCTAGGTTAAGAATGTCTCACATCTGGACACATGTTTAACTGCAGCAGAGATGGTGGAGTGTTTATCACCTCAGCTGGCTGGTTCTCAGATATCTGGACTTTGTTTACGTGTATTTATCTGGATCTTGTTTTCATGTATTTATCTGAATCTCAGATATCTGGACTTTGTTTACATGTATTTATCTGGTTCTCAGTTATCTGGATCTTGTTTTCATGTATTTATCTGGATCTCAGTTATCTGGACTTTGTTTACATGTATTTATCTGGATCTCAGATATCTGGACTTTGTTTACTTGTATTTATCTGTTCTTTGTTTACATGTATTTATCTGGATCTCAGATATCTGGACTTGTTTACATGTATTTATCTGGATCTCAGTTATCTGGACTATAGGATTTTGAAATACACACACACAGTCAGCTAGCTAGCTCAAAGTAGAATGTAATATTTAGCTAGCTACAGCTACACAACAATAAGGTAAGGACACTTCATATTATCTAGGAATGTAAAAGAAGCCACTACCCTTTATTTCTTTACACAGTTACTCACCAGGTGTTAAAAAGAAAAGGGAACGTGTATGAAATATTTAGCTTGAACAACTCACTTTCCACTTGAGCTCGAACTTCGCGCATCGAGTGCAGCAGCAGCAGCAGCAGCAGCAGCAGGGACCGAGCCCTGACAGTCATGGTCCTCCGCTTCGTGTCCTCAGCTCTCCACAGTGTCCGTCAGTCAGATCGATGGGGACTCCTCTGTCTCCGGTGTTTGGGTAGAAGTCCCCGCAGAGAGAAGAGCGACATGCTGGGCCGGACAGACAGGTCCCGCGGCCACAAGAGCCAAAAGCCAGGAGCACCGCGGCGCTGACTGCCAGACCCGCGAGAATCCCGCCCTCCGTCCCGCGATACCTCCTCCTCCTCCTCCTACTCCTCCTCCTGCTCCTCCTACTCCTCTTCCTGCTCCTCCTCCTCGCTCCACACCACAGCCTCCAGGACCTGAGCGGTTTGAGATGCTTCACCGAAATACAGTGTTGATATGATTGAATAAATCAAACGGAAAAATGAAAATTCACTCATTATCCACTCACCACTGAGCCGATGCAGGGTGGGTGAAGTGTTTGAGTCCACAAAGTACTTCTGGAGTTTCAGGGACAAACACTGCCACAGCCAAATCCAATCCAATTGAAGTATCCTGTGAATCCTTCTCCAGACGCAAAAAAACAAGAGAAACGCCTCCATACTGCTCCTGTGGTGTCCTCCAAGTGTCCAGAAGCCCTGACCTTTAAATTCAACTCGAAACAGCTTCATTTACACCTTGTTTTAAATCTAAATGTTGCACCCTGCGTGTGCCCTTGGGTTAGAGCTTGAGGACGGTATGTGCATGCAAACGTCAACATGGCTCCAGAACAGGATATCGGAGGACATGTATGCTAATATCATGGTGTAACACTGTTTCGAGTCAAATTTGAATGTGACTTGCAGACACTTGAATGACACCACAGGAGCAGTATGGACACCACAGGAGCAGTATGGAGGCATTTTTCTGTTTTTTCCTGTTGTTTGAACAAGTGGTCACCGTTTACTTCACTTGTATTGGATTAAGCTTCAACGCTGTTTACCCGAGACTCCAGAAGTGTTTTGTGGAACCACCCCTCCATTGGCATAGTGGTGAGTAATGAGTGAATTTTCATTTTTCAGTGAACCATCCCTTAAAGCACGTCCTAACAGCCTCTTGCTTTGTTCAGTCTTTGTTTTGTAGCGTGAACAACGGGTGGATTGCCACTTACAGCCAACACACTGTGGTCAACTTTGTGGTTCTGGGAAAAAGTGGCAGAAATCTGCTCTCAGACCATAATTAATCACATCAAAGTCACAAGTTATATCAAAGCGGTAATAACACAGTTTGGCTTTATTTATTCCATTTAAAGAAATGTTTTTCAGCTAGTAAAATAAATACCACAATGTGCAACAGAAGAGAAAGGAGGAGGATAGGGCTTGAGTTAGCCAGCAATAAACAGAACAAAGAAGAAGCAGCAGAAGAGGTAGTTGATATACAGCGTATTCTGTGTCAGATGCTGTTTCTATTCCTGCTTTTAAGCAGCTCATGATAGTATGGACCAATAACATGAAAGTGAGAGCTCTTGAACAGGCCACCCAGACATGAGACCTTTGTACATAACGTCCATATCAACTCAGCAGAGACAATTTCATGTTTTAAAGGTTTATTTTAAATCAAGCCCTTCTTTTACTCATTCACACTTTCAAACCTTGCAGGCACCACAGGTCCATGCATGCTGGCAAACATAACATAACACAAGTACCAACGATTAAAAAAAAAAGAAAAGAAAGATGTGTGCACACTGCTAGTGTCTGAATCACCAGACAGGGATGCAACTCCGTAGCACTATGCAGTAAATACAGCCGGAGGAGGAGGATTGTTAAGAGTCTTGAGGTTAAAAGGTGAAGTGGTTGGTGGCAACGGACTGTACATACTATACACAATAGTGGCAGCAGTTGGAGGGGAAGTTGTGGGGCTTTAACTTTTTCGTAAGCTGACGTCAGCACTGGTCAGCAGCGGCGACAGCGAGGTGCTCTCTGATGCTTCTTCTCTCTTCAGAAGGAGGAAAGCCTTGCGACTGATCCCCAGCAGCTCTCGAAGTCCACTGTTCTCCAGCTAAAACGCAGACACAGAGAAAGCACAGCCATAAATTCAGATGGAAGAGGACAACCACAACAGCAAACCTGTGCCTTCAGTTTGATTTGTAATAATCAAGTTATGCAATAGCTAATGGATGATTTTTGATTGAACACTTCTGTGACAAAAAGTCAACACACAAAATACGTCTATATAGAATATTTCAGTTTTATTTTGATGGAATAAAAGTGTCTTGCGCATCTGAATATTGATGGAAGTAATGTGCAACAGGTTTGGCAAGATTTGCTTTTACCTCCAGCTGTTTTATCCTCTCCTCATCTTCACATATCCGCCCTTCATCCACCTCTATCGCCTTCCTCATCACAGAGGCCATCTCGTTGATCTTGTCTATGTGTGCTTGCATTTCCTACAACAAAAAAGGTCAAAGTAAATTCATCAACAAAAGGCCATGGGTGCATCTCGTCAGTTTACAATCAACTGAGAAATTTGAGACAAGTTGGTCTTTTGGGTTAATTGAGATTTACAAAATTACTAGTCACCTACAGCCATAAGTAGCTGTTACTAACCGTGGTGTGCTGCTCCTTCAGCTGGGTCACAATGGTAGGGTCGTCCCTCTTGCTGGCCATGAGGAGCCTGAACACCTGCTCCCTGTATTTGGTCATGATGAGCTCTAACGCAGACTGGTGTTCCTCCAACGATGACCGCAACTCTGCAGGAAGCGTGAGGAGAAAACAGATGAAAAAAAAGACTCCTATAGGAAAATCTGTGGCTTTTGTATACATGATGTAACAACAACAGGCATTTGGTCTTTTATATTTTAACCATATATTTATGAATCCCACAGTGTGTCTATGTATGTTTGTCCTGTATCCTTTGTGTTCATGAACACAAAACTCCACATGCCAACCTTTATTTTCCTGTTGTAGCTCCCTGATCTGACGGTTCTCCTGCTGGATTCCAAGGACCAGACTGGAACGAGGCCGATGTCGTGCGACCTGGTTCAATGAATCAATCTCCTCCTGGTACTGCACAAAAGAATTAAACAAACCAACTCCAATTGAACAACTGAAAGATATAAAGATCATAACTGGAAAATAGTGCTGGACCAGACTCATTGTTAAAGCAATTTTTAATACTTCTGTTGGTAAAACATAAATTGGAAAAAAAGTGAACAGATTTCTCTCTATCCATTGTAATTTTGTATAAAAGCATCTATAAATTGAAGTCAGGTCTAATCAGCACCTGGTTACATGTGACACCCTACCTGTTTCATGGCATCCACTCGCTTGTTGAGGGACGTGGTTTGTTCGATTAACATCTCAGCAGCATTGTCGTGGTTACGAAGTCTTTCCACTAAGGATTTGGCGTCTGCCAAGACCTTCTCTAAGGTACAGTTCATGCCTGAGGAAATGCAAGTAATAATTAGAAGGAACTATGACAGTTTACCAACAGCAGCATTGTTGTTTTGAGTTTTTAATGGAATAGTGGGTTCCTCACTTTGTAACTGCATAATGTTGCCTTTGTTGGTCAGATATGTCAGTGTAATTACCAAAGTAGACCAAAAAACAATCATCAAATGCATTAAAAATGATCACTGACAAATTCTGTCATAAATGAAGGTAGCAATCTCTTTTCTTCTGCCTCACAATGTTGCTGCTGATGTAAATAAGAACAGTAAATACACAGTAATATTTCATGTCATCAATCTTGCCCATCCATTTCTATTGAATTTGAACTCAGGTAATGTGGACTATATGGCCTCAATCTGGGCTAAATTCATTTATGCCTCATCAATCTATCCATTAAATCACTTTCTGACCTCATGTCAAGAACAAACAGAAGCTCCCCATGTGTACATCTCAACATTGAGCCCGGTGAGTCAGTGAAGTGAATGAAACTAACATTGATTGATCTGAAAATGACCAAAACTAAGTAAAAAGACATAAGTTAGCATAGAACTGACCAAAACCTCAATATAGGCTACTTAGCCAGGTTAGCTAACCTCGTCACACCTTGGATGACAGGTGCTGTGTCACGTAATTCGCTCAAGATAACATCACTGAGTTGTAAGTGATATATTTAGCAGGTTTATTTACACTGCGGCAAATAAAGACAATTACACACCCGAGTTACTCTAGTCCAATTAACAGACTAAAAGTAGCACTGCGGCCAAAGCTACACGAACCTAAGTCTTTGCTAACTTATTAGCTGACAACAAACCACGCTAAAGTTGGTGGGGCAACTCACACGAGGCTCATCTTCTAAACCTGCTGGTACAGCTGTCATTTCAAATACTGAGACGGTTTGGAAGTGAATGAATGAATAAACTGCTGTACCTGGAGAACTCAAAGTGCAAGACATTGGAAATTAGCTTAGCCCGTTGCTTCCTGTTGATGTTTGGTAGCTAACATGAGCTACAGGCTAACATCGGTCCCCATCCAGATCGATAATGCAGCTCTGTTAACTCTCGTCGCACACAGAGATGTCCACCGACGGATTTCGCTGATCGCTCCTCTTGTTGGACGTAAACACTGGAGCTGCTCCAAGTAGCCACAGCTGCTCTGGAGGAGTAGAGTCCACCAGAGCCTTCCAAATACCGTCAGGTCCCGCGAGATCTTACGCTCTCATCAAACTCTCGCGGGATGTTGGCCAATCACAGAAAACATGGCGGACAGGCTAACGCAGCTGCAAGACGCTGTCAACTCGGTAAGGCGAATTTGAGAGTTTATTAAATAAAACCGCAGCGAAATAGTCAGCGATGCTTTTAAAAGTGAACATTACTGGTTGTTTAACAGTTTGTGGTTAATGATGTGAAGTAGTATGCGCAGTATGTCGGATTATTAACCCGTTAACGTTGCTACATCACCGGGTAGCTAACGACCAGGAGGGGCCGCGTCATGAAACGAGTTCACTCGGATTGTGTCTGTCAGTGTTCCGCGGATTGACACGGTGGTAAACACGTGTCTCTGTGTGCAGCTCCCTTCACTGACAGTGTGTTGTTCTGTGTGTGCAGCTTGCGGATCAGTTCTGCAACGCCATCGGCGTCCTGCAGCAATGTGCTCCCCCTGCCTCCTTCAGCAACATCCAGACGGCCATCAACAAGGATCAGCCCGCGAACCCAACTGAAGGTGATTTATCTGTGCGCCTTGTGATGCCAATCTTCCTTATTCCTTATGTCATTAGTCTAATGTCACAAAATATACTATTCCCATTTCAGTCTTGTCGATCTGATGTCGCAGGAACCGTATTAAGAAAAATCACTTAACCCCCAAAACAAGTGCAGGTGTGTGGACATTGTTGTTATTGGTTAAGAAATGAAGTTACAGACTTCTGACCCAGTTCGGACCCGGTATTAACATCCGTCCTGAGTCATCTGATCATCCAACAGCACTGAGTTCAGTTCTGAACGCACCCTAATCTGTCCTGAGATCTGATCACTGCAACCACATTTATCAGTTGTTTGGGACGATGAGGCCACATTCTTTTCACTGCGTCAACGTGAATGTGTCCTGGGCCACATATGACGGGCCGTCTGCTCAGCTGACTTCTTCTGACCTGCTACAGTTTGTCAATTAATCAGTGACCATACATTGATTTGCTTGTGGCCACTGCTTCAATATCACTGGCCGCCACAAAATGTTTGATACCGCTCTGTCCTGTGGGACACACGTACACACACAAACACAGGGACGTCTGTCACACTGGGTAAAACAACATCATTTGATCTTTGCAAACAGAAATGATGCACACGATTATTTGCAATTAAAGGGTGGAAGTGAGATCCACATGTGGTCACAGGAGACGTTCCGGTTTCCAGATGAATTTCACGCTGTCAACTTGTGATCTGATCTCTCAGTTAATACCAAGGGCCTGTAACATGAAGCAGGATTTCTGGTTATCAGGATAACTTCAGGTTAACTTCAGGGTTTTCAGTCCTATGAAGCCCGTTCACTTCTTATTTGGGTATATCACCTTTGTAACTCATGCTGAATGGCTAACCTTCTCCGGAGCAGGTTAAGTTGGAGATCATCCGGTATAAAAGCACCACCCACTAAAAACCCATGTTCCAAAGGAACTAGGTCAGAGGATCCCATGGAGCAAAAAAGGGAAATAATCCTGTGGTGCTTGTGAGGATTGTTAGGCCCCGTACACACGTGGTATTAAGATGTGGTTTTTGTTCACAGCTCTGAGTGTGTGCGTTAACACCTGACATTAAAATGTGGCCCCACATGCATCTCTCGATCAGATCTCAGATCCCCACTCTATAAAAACAAACAGGTCTGTCATTTCTGGTCATGAAGACCAAGTTATATTGTCTGTACCCAGTGAGGAGTCAGGAGAGTCTGAGAGAATCTTTTGCAGCTGCACTGTGAAGAAATATTTGACTAATTTAGTATTGATCATTATCACTAAATTCCAGTGTAGAGGCGACATCATGTGATTAATTGAACCGTTTCATCTCTCATCCAAGAGGCTTCTTTAGTTCAGATTCATATCTCGTGGCCCCAAGTTATTTATCTCGTTCCCACACGTGATTATGTTGCAGCCAAATATATTTTTTTTCTTATTGTCACCAGGAGGCTCTGTAACTTAAACATTCACACAATCAGATATGTTTTTACCTCCTTCCTGCATTTAGCAGCTGTGACTGTTTCTTTTAGTCTGAATAATGTGTTTGTTCTCCTCATATTTTTCTAATATAACAGTTTGCTCCTCGTTTGTCAAATATGCTGCTCTGCTGTCAGTGCACTTGTCCATGTTGGTGATTGGTCATATACACCTATACATATACCTTATATATACCTTTTGTTGGTTTGATGTGCACACACTCATATCAAAAGTAGGAAAACCTGGTTTGACTTAATGTGTTAATAACCAGTGTTGTGTGAACACTCAGCCTGACTGCATTTGTGAGGTTAATTCAAGCTGGATTACGGAAAGATAACCGGGCTATGTGGAGCTCGCTTCATGGTACAGCCCCCAGGTGTGATCAGAAACATTGGGTTAGTGATCTCAGTGAGTTTATTTATCATTACCCTAGCCTGGATCCCAAAAGTGAATCTCTCTACACATCCTTGCGGTTCCTGCTGTGATTCAAATAATGTGCTAATGAATAGAGAAAGTAAAACAACACTTCATTTCAGTCTGCTTGCAAAACTACAACACAATGACTAGTAGATCAGTTATTACTGGCCAATGTTGCTTGTTATAAATCTAGAGACCTGCTATATTTTAATTTGTCCTGCCACCAATGAACCATAAAATTCTTTAATCTTCCACAGTAACAAAACGACTTCTCAAACTTGGTGTGTTCAGCGCTGTTAGCTGCGTCCTCACACACACTCACATTGTTGCCCTGCCACATAAATCTATCTTTGATTAGTTTTATTTCCCTGACTTCTCTTTTTATTTCCTCTTTCATTCGTTTCCATATTCCTGAGCCTACATCATTAATGTAACCCTTTATTGCATCTCCCCTTTTATAATCTCCCTGATGTTACTATTATTATGTCAGCACTTTTCACCATATCTAATGATGAAGACAAACATTTAATTATCATTACATGTATGTTGTTTGTTATCTATATTCGTATTTTGCAAATTGAGATAGGAGTAACCACAATTTTGCTCTGCACCTCTCAGTTATGGTTAACTTTGCACCTTGTGTTCTATTCATTATTATTATTTTTTTAATCTTTCCAGAATATGCCCAGCTGTTTGCAGCCCTGATAGCCAGAACAGCCAAAGATGTGGACGTACTAATCGACTCTCTCCCCAGTGAGGAGTCGACAGCAGCTCTGCAGGTCAGCACATACACAAGCATCTTTTAATGTCATTGTTATCCTTCATTTTCTCAATGACAGTCTTAACTCAGTAGGATCCACTAACCTGTTCATCCTACACCCACCTTCTCTGCATGTTGACATCATCCATGATAGAACTATGTCATTATTGAACATTTATCTCAGGGAGAGCTTGGTTTAAATGAGGAAACACATTTACTTCAACAGTACACAAGTTCATCTGGTATTTCTAGCTTTCAGCCTGTAGAGGGAGCCATGTGAACACTCAGACAGCTGTTTCCTGCTCTGACAGCTGTGGCTGTAAAAGGCAGAGTGATGCCTGCTCATGGGTATTAAACAAACAACCAAGTGATTGTTGCCTCTTTCCAGGCATCTCTTCAGGGTTAGGGTGGCCTATGAATATCCAGAATGACTCTTAGTGTATTTGAATTTAATTGACAGCTAAGAATGACTTCCCTGTGTTTTTTCAAACCAACTATTTGTCAAAAATGTATAAATTAACATCTGAATCAGTGGAAATCTACACTCAGTGATACTGATTCTTATGTTTTTTCTTAAGTTTATATAAATAAATAAAAAATAATCCTAGTGATGTTTTCCCTGGTGTGTTTCATCTAAAATTATGAATTGTTGTTTTCTCTACCATAGAAGGGTAATTTCAAATTAAGCAGCAGCTTTCATCAAGTCACGCTGAATTTCTTGTCAGCTGTTGATCATTGGAGGAGACCAATAAAAATTGTTTGGGCCTCCTTCTACTTTTAAAAGTCTCAGAACTTAATTTACTCATTAGGTTTTAATTGGTTCATTAGGACTTGAGAGACTGGTCAGGATCCACATTCCTCTTCAAAGCCTCTGGTAACGCTCAACAACCATGGACTCTCCTCTAAACTACTGACTGAGCATCTGAGAATTAAGCTAATTGATGCCAATGAAGCAGGTCAGGCTATAAAAAGATATCAAAGTCCTTCCAGCTTGATGTTTCCGCAGTTTTAAATGTCAGTTAAGGGGGAACTGTGCATTTGCTGAGCAGGAAGGTAAAGCACAACCTGAGGGATGCAGTTATCGTCATATTATCATCAGAAAACTTTGTAACCTCCTAATACAATTAGGGTGTTAGGTCAAAGGGGTGCAGCCTTGGTGTATTAGTTTCAGGCTGAAGCTCAGTGCTTGTTAACACACCAACTTGATTTGAAGAAAAACCTTCTGCATAAGCGTAAAAACTACTGGACAGATTACCATGAAACCTGATGGAAGGATCTGGTATTGGTCATGAAAGAACCAATAGATCAGATCCAGGAGTCTTTTGAGTGTTATTCTAGTTTTGAATTAATCTCACTTGCTGTGACCCCCCCATCAGGCGGCCAGTCTGCGGCAGCTTGAAGAGGAGAACCATGATGCAGCAGCTCGTCTGGAGGACGTGGTTTACCGTGGCGATATGCTGCTGGAAAAGATCCAGAGCGCTCTGGCTGACATAGCCCAGTCTCAGCTCCGCACCCGCAATGGAGCCCCAAGCCAGCCTTCACCAGCCGAATCCTGACCCACAACACACGGAATACACCTTTGGACTATTTCACTCGTATTTTGACTCTTTAGATTTACCTTCAGAAGCTAAACTAGAAAGATGAAAGCCTCAAACACAGGCTGGATGTGTCTAAACGCCGATCAGAGTGGTGTGGATGATATTCTCTCACAGGTCTGGATATTAACAGAATATGTGGATTTCCAAATGATATTTTCTTCTGCCCTTAATGTTAATTGGCTGAGAAAGATTTACAGATGCAGACGTCTTGGCCTGAAAACCCGAAGGAGACGGCTACAAGAAGACATCTTCACATACACTTTGTCTTGATACAAGAAGTTTGGAAAACTACTTCCTCGTGGTCTGAAAGAGTAAAAGCTTTTGTATGTTTTATGTACAGTACATGTTGAGTTGCATCACGATGAAGTTTTGTAGATATTTATGAATAAAATCATAATTCTCATTTTGGCTGCTCAATATGATGTCACTTGGTTTCTGTAACTGTCATTTTTTGTAATAAAGCTTAAACAAACTGGATTTCAATATTTGAAACAATTATAAGTCAACTAGTGTCCTATTTGTTTTTTCAGCTGATTATCAGTTAGATATTTCTGCTATAATTTTCAGTATGAATTCTGTACAGTGCAACTTTGTTGAAATTTCAGGCGTTTTTTTGGAATTACCTCAACAACACAACCACACTTCTGCTTTTTAGAGATGCTTGTGTGCTTCAGACCTGATGTTTCATCCTCACTCAGTTTCAGTGAGTAACTATTTTCTGTCATTGTTCACTTGATAACCTTCTAAACAACAGACATCTAACAAGTCAATACAACACCAGGATGACATATTTTCTACAGCTGCAAAATCTTGTCTTTTTTGACTGTTTTGTGATATATAAGGGTTTCATAAGCATAAAAATAGTGTGAGGGGGTAAAATAGGAAGGAGATCTGCTGATGTTTTAAAAATATACATGATGGGAAACTTAGGCATGTTAAGTTCCCTAATGAGAAATCAGGAAAATGCGTGAGGTAAAAACATTGACATAAATGTGTTTATTTTAAATGATATCAAAAGTTCTTAAAACATTTTATGTGCAACCTGAGAAGACCCCTAATGATTTATAGAAGAGTTAAAAACAGACTAATTTAATGGTCACTATTTTGGTGATCAGAGATCTGGTATCACAATATTTCCTGATATTTTAAAGGTTTAAAGGTCATAAGCAAGATAAAAAAAATAGGGCTGAAAGAAATAGGAAAGAGATCTGCTGATGATTTAAAAATATGCCGTAGCATTTTAAGTTTCTGTGTGAGAGGTAGAGACACTGTCATCTAAATAGTGACATCAACAGAAATGTATTTAGATGACTTACTTTGTATGTATTCATTAAATAGAGATTTCTATTTGTATATTTTTTAAAGCCCAAGCAACTGTGTGATTTATACAAGAGGGGAAAAAACAGGTAATTTTGTCAGGATTTTTTAATATGCTAAAATAACCCCTCAACCTTGGTTGACAAAAGTCATATTTTAACTCTTAACATCCAAAAAATCACCATCACAGATTTTGGGATGTTCCCAAACATTGAAAGTCATGTGGGGCTCTGAAGTCTTTATCACTCAAATGTGTCTCTGTGGTCAGATGGGCTTCAGAGTGAACTTTATAAAGCACAGGCTGTGGGCCAGAGCGTTTATAGACCGAAATCTAAATATAGTTGCTGTGTCACAGCTCTGTGGGCGCCATTGATGTGAGAAATATAGAAACAGCCTTGTCTGCGATGGACACCACACCCAGAAGTTTGAACAGGCTACACCCACCTTCTGTGCATGTTGAAATCATGGCCTCAAAAGTAAAATCATTCAACCTGTCCAAATATGGAGACTGATGACAGGAAAGACCTCACCCCCCAGCCTGTGCTGATTCTCACTGTGTTTTGTTCAGTAAGACTTTGTTTTGTCATTTGTTTTCTGCATTATTTAGTAGTAATTAGAGTCGTTTATTCGCTGCATCCTGCTCCTCTCATCTTACAAGGAAATGGCAGATAAGGTGGATGAAGTTCCAAGAAGGCTTGCTTGGATGATTGGAGGGAACGAGTCATTATCTTTGTTTTTTTGTTGTGAAAATGTGATCTGACGTGTCCACATTTGAAGTATTTCTGGCCCAAACTAGTCATTCTTACACCACAGGTTTCAGATCTTGCCTTGAAAGACATATCTTTTAGAATGTAGAATACAGCTGTGGCCTGTCTGGGTCATCATTATGGTTTTATTGTTATATTATCACATTGTACATTGTTTTTCATCTATTATATTGGCACAAGGCTGAAGTAGTCCAATAAAAATCTCTATAAAGATATAGTACAGAAGGGCTGTTATGTTTACACATCAAAAATATTTAGTTTAATATGGTTCTATACACCAATAAAAACCTGCAGTTTGTATTTTCAAAGTGACCTTTTGTTGACCTCTTGTAGTTCATACATCATTATTCTATGGTGATGTTAACTCAATATAATTCAAGAAAAATATCAGAATAAAATATTAAGTGTTTTTCAATAAGAATATTCAAAAACAATGACGCAATAATCCTTATAATTCCTCGAGCTCTTTTATTCTCTCATAGCTGGGAGGGATTACCGGCTGCTTCCCGAATTGAACGCAACACTGCGATTGGCTGATACACTTGTCAATCTCATGTCTATCCCTTATAGGATTGGCCAGCGGGAACCAGCGGTCCTCTTGCTTGTTGATGATTGGCTCGCGGTAACGTCGCTCAAGCGCTGACGTGCGACGCGGCCAACGGTGCCCGGGAAGCAGCTCCGCCCCTCACTGTTGTTTGATGGCGCTGTACGCGGAGGCAGCGTCCGCTCCGCAGGTCAGAGGTGACTAATGGAGGCTTTACGACAGTCTTAAATAATGTCGGCTTAGCTTGTTGTTAGCCTCGGGGGCTTCTGCTATGACTAGCTGTTTATCCTGGTAGGTGTGTGTTGAGGGAGCAGCCAGTGAAGTGGAGCGTGTAGCCTCCAGCTGCACAGCACAGAGAACATCTTTGTATTTCTTCACCTGAGTGGCCGGCGGGGAGCCCATCTTTGACTCTGGAGCAGGACACGGAGGTAGGAGGAGATATGTCTTCAACCTCTTCACTCTTTCACTCTCTCGGGTTTTTTTCATCTATTGTGGGAATGGAAGCTGCCAGACAGTCGTGTAGCACACACACACACACACACACACACACACACACACACACACACACACACACACACACACACAGCTATGCTAACACAAGCCAGCGTGAGTGTGAGCCAGTGGTTAAAATGTCCAGAGAAATGTGAAGAGTGAAAACTGTTCTCTCCCATCATGTCTGAGGCAGCAGGGCCGGAGCTACCGTGGCACCTTGCAGGGGGTTGACAGGGGGGCCCGACTGAGGTGTCCGCTTAAAGGTCCAGGGGGGAAGATTTAGGTGATAAGGAACTAATGTGGATAATCTCATGATGTGTTCACTGTATTGTATGGATCTAAATTGTATGAATTGTAGTTTATACAATGTAGTTTTACTTTATATTTTTTACATTAGTCCAGACTGTACAAAGTAAACATCTTTTAAGATTTTATGACAATTAAAGTCTACCGCAGGTTCTTTTTCATGTTTGGAAGGAGAGGGTGAGGTGAGAGGTGTTCAGCTGCAACGTGCAACTTCAACACTAGATATCACAAAAATCTACACACTGTACCTTTAAAGGGATAAAAAATTAAATTGACTCATCATCTACCCACCGCTATAGTGATGGAGATGTCGGTGAAGTCTTTGAGTCCACAAAACACTGAAGGAGTTTCGTGGGTAAACAGCGTTGCAGCCAAATTCAATACAATTGATGTCACTCAGGGACTGATTCTTCAAACATTAAAGAACAACAGAACAATAAAATGCATACTCCATACTGCTCCTGTGGTGTCATCCAAGTGTACTTAAGCCCCGACATTGTAAATCCACTTGAAACGAAGTAGCGATGCTACCCCGTGCGTGTGAACGCGGCTCCAAGGAGGATATCGGAGGACATTTAGGCTTAAAACACGGCGTTAATGATGCCATTTCGAATTTGAATGCTGTGTATTTTGAATTGGCTGTTTACCTCTAAAATATATACGTTAATAACTTGGAATATCGCAAAAGTTCAATATGTATCAATACATTTCTCCTTCAAGCATGGTGAGGTACAACACATGGATGGTTTTCATGTTCTTACCTCAGATTTGTCAAATGTTATGCTGTCTATTAGGTGTTTCTCATTCTCTGCCCATTGAGAAGACTTTAAAACCACAACATCCACTCAGGAACAAAAATCTGTCTATGAACTCCAAACAAATAATCATTTGACATTTATTGTCTGGTATGATTTAGTTATTTATTACATTTTTATAAGATAATTTGCCATGTCTCCCAGCCTAAATTAGTAGCATGACCATTAGGTTACACAGGAGAAAGCTGTATATTTATCTTGTTTTGTTCACTTAAAAATTGGCACTGACCTTGAAGGAGCATATTCTGATGCATGTTTTTTTAAGTATTGCCACTGAAAAACAAAATGTAAAGGTATGAATACAGATATATTTCCTCGGTAAAATGTGCCTAATGATAAAAGTATTATGGAATTATTGATACATTCACTCATTACTGAAATAGTTACTTTTCAGTGTGTTTTGCTTGGTTGTTTTATGTAATTTTCTGTCAATATAAATTGTCTGCTTTTTTTATGTGTGTGCGCCCCATTCCTCTCTTCAGAGTCATGACTGAGGCCATTCATTCAGGACGGAAAGGGTTTCCTGTCCAGTCACTTACGATACTTGTAGGGTGGAGTGTGTCTCTAGGTTTCCACAAACATATGTAAACTGCACCAAACTGAGAAACCCACCATGTAGGGAAATAGTTACACTCTGAATCTTCAGCCTACTTTTACTTCATATTCATACTCCATAGATAATTGTATTGATAACATGTGAGGCATTATGAGTCTGACTCTCAGCTCAAGATCTGCAAAATCTTACACTGAATTTTAGTTGAAGATGTTTGCACATGTCTATTTGAAATTTGGAATAGTATAACTGAACTCGGAATGGTTGAAGCTGAGTGCACACCTGTCTGTAGCAGAGTGTTTCAAGGGACTTTTCTCCTTTATCATGGCGTTGTTGCTATTTCTTGTGCCTAACAAGGAATTTGAGAGGGTTTTTAATTGCCCACAAGAATGACAGAAACAATAGATAGAATGGCTGGTAGGTGAGCTTACAGAAATAATAGTCTACTGCCACCACCAGTGGGCAATAAATCAAAAGATGGATGCAAACAGACACCAGGTCCTTTATGGGACAGAACACTGTCTGAGATTTACAGAGAGATATTGCTCTCACTTTTATATTGCTCTTATTCTTGTAATTGTCTAGCTTTCTTGTCCCGACAGTACACCACTGCTTTTGTCTTATGTTGTTGATGCTTATTAATGCATGTAACATCTACCTACGCAGATAAACTTGGGATGATCCACAGATCTTGCTGGCAGCAGTTTTCTTTGGGAGATATCTTTATTTACTGTTGATTACATTAACTGTATAGTTTGGGCACTGAACCTTTTAAGAGTTCATCTTTGCTAGATCTTAGTTTCAATTGTTAAATATAGCTCTCAGGCTGCAAGCTTTAGTCTATAAATATTGAGCTTGCTTTCAAATTGTCTTCCTTATAAGTGTCGTGAAGTAACTGTGTTTGTTTAGCTGTAGGGTGGATCTGGTTAATGTCAAGCCAAACTGAATCCTTTCAGTCTGAGCTAAAGGCCCAGCTGAGTCTGCTGTAAAGCAACAGTTTCTAACTGTTTAAATTATGCTTCATTTTCCACCTTGTTGGAAAAACAACCACGGAAGTTTTTTTTCTCAAGTTTGTACATCAATAGGTCTTTCGCTCCAAAGACATTTTGAAATGTCACAGTAGGAAAAACACAGGTATAAGAAATGAAATGAATAATAGCTGAATTCCACTGAGCTGTGTATATTCAATGATATGATATATAGACCACTGTCAGAGCAAACACTCAACATTGTCAGCAGGAAACAGTTGTAGTTAGTTACTACATTCTACTACATTCAATTTAGGTAAACAAGCTGCAGGGTCCTGGTATTTAACATGCAGGCCCACTGGTTCTGCTTACTGGGACACTTGATGGAACTGAGCCATCGTTAATGAAATTAGTTTCGTTCAGTTCATTTAGTTTCCAGTGCTTACTGGGACAAGTGGAAAGAGTCAGCTGTGCATGCTGACTCACTCAACCCATGATTAATGTTTAGAAGTGGGCCTCACCAAATGAACCACCGTTAACCTTATCACATGATACTTGAAGAACTCCATAGATGATTATTTAGTGTCACTTTTCATTTATTACTTATTTATTTACAATCTTAACCTTTCGGGGAAATGGTAACAGACATCGGAGAGTCTCTTTTTTTGATGAACACCCTCAACTCCAGAAGTGAAGTCCAAACAAGTCCCAGAGCAGGCGGAGGTGAGCTGCCGCTGGAAGTAACACAGCCAAGCAATTTCTAACTCCCAACACTTTAAATGGAAAAGAGCACATTTCAGATAAAGGTTTGTCTTCTCAGCAGAAGCTGTTCTTAATTCCATTGTTGTGTAATCAAAAGAACACAGGGTATTTGTCTTTTTTTCCTGCACATGTACTGTATTTAGTAAATGGTCTATATTTATATAATGCTTTTCTAGTCTTCATTTTGGGGTTCGTGGTTTGCCCAAGGATACCTAGTCATGTGGAATAGAGGTGCCAGGGATTGAACCATCGACCTCTTGAGCCCCAGCTGCATAAACTAGATAGAGGCTCCCTGCAAGAATGAGAGGAAATTAAGTCTGCTTGTGCTGCTTTGTGTTCGTGACAATGAATTGTGGTGCTTTAAGCTGAGCTGAGGGTCAAATGTGGTCAGATCTGCTACTGTGGCTCAGGAGGTAGTAACCAGGGGGTCTGTGGTTTGGTGTCCATCTCCTCCGTTCTGCATTCAAGTGTCCATGGTCAATATACTGTCAGCGGTGCCGACCGTGAATGAATGGTGTGTGTGATAGAAAAAGGGCTGTGTATAAATTCTGTATGTCCGCGTGAATTGGTGAATGTGATTTGTACTGTAAAGGACTCGGAGAAGCCGATGAGACTTGAAATACACTGTATAAATACATCTCAGCTTAAACCTCCCTCACCAAGAAGCCTCCAGAAGTGATTCACAGATTTGTCCTCAGAAGTCAGGAAGTGTCTGGTTGTTGTACTATTGGGCCGGGACGGGAAAGGGGCCAGTGACTAGACAAAACATGATCCCTATCTGTGAGCTGCAGGACTGTTTTATCTCTGTTTGGGCTAATCAAGCCCATTCATACCTTTTCTAATGCTGAAATGTTTGGACACATCCACCCTTTTACACTTTCCCTCTATTACATAATCGGATCATGTTAATTTGCCATTAATGTAAGAAGAAGAAAATCAAAGTTAATTTAGTAGTGCTTGGTGTTACCCCTCTCTTTCACATTATCATTCATGCTCATTTATCTACTGCTTATTACCTACACCTCACAAGCATGTGAGTATGTTTCTTATGCTCACTGTAGTTTTCTCTCTACCCACACAAGTGCTACAAGATGTCAGTGTTTGTGTTTTTGCCAGGGACAGAACAGAGCGAGTGCAGAAATACATCTCAATTTCCTGCTTTTACATGTAGATCTCTATCTACTGAATTGATCTGATCTGTTCCTGCGAATGAATCATGGCATCTGGTTTTTCTCACCAGTATAATCAACATCTGATGCTTTCTCAGCTTTCAAGTGAATTTCCTGGATCTTTTTCTGCCCTCCATAAATTTTTTCTAGTTTGATAGGATCCAAATCTGTGAAGAATTCACAGGAATGCATTCTGAGAAATAACGATTAGTTCCTGGAGTGAAAGCTTTGCAGACCGTGAGCCAACCACACTAGTTGTCAGGTCATTAAATTGAACTGAACACTTACTGGTTTCATGAAGCTTTAATGATGAATGCTAAAACGTAGCACCACAGTAGCAGTGAAAGGTGTTAATGTTGCACAATAATGTCGAGCTTATGTTTGTGAACATCAGATAACATCAGCCACTATAAACCTCTGGTTATATCACAAGTGTGGCTGCAGCAACACAACAGTGTGAGTGTATTGAATTGATTGAGGTTGTGTTTTATTTGGAATGAACTGCACTTTGGTAACAGTGAAAGAGATTTCCTCTTTGGAAACCTCTGTTGATGTCAAACTCTTCCCTGGTTGGTTAGAAGAATATTGTAGAAGACTGAATCCTGATATTCACCTCACACTACTGGAAGCACTAACTGGACTGATGTGTTGGTGTGTTTTTTCACAGGATAGTGTGGCCATGACGGGAGGGACTGCAGCTACCCTTCCCATGAGCAACCACACCCGAGAGAGGGTGACCGTGGCAAAGCTGACACTGGAAAACTTCTACAGCACTCTGCTCACCCAGCACGAGGAGCGGGAGATGAGGTAAAACCATAGAGTGTATATAAAATGCACATAGACTCCAGGTCCTTAAAGTGACATCAATACTGAAGAGTCTGAAACCTGTATTCTCTCCAATGACCAGCAGAGGGCGTCTCCACTGGTTGCAAAAAGATGTTTCGTTTTTATAGAATGAGATAATGATTCTATTTCTCACTTGATTTATAACATAAACATTTATAACATTAGTAAACATTTTCATAAAGAGTTTACTGTCTCAATTGTCTCAAGCCAAATAGACGATGAAGCACTGCTTGCCTTGGGGATGAGACCCTGTGATTGACAGCTGTGTGGGTGCAGGTTGTAGTTGAAGGTGGGCGTGCAGTGTCCTCAGGCTCACCCCTCCCTGCTCCTCCAAATATGGTTACTTCTGATTTCAAAAAACCAAAATGCCAAACTTGAGGCTTCAAGGCGACAGTTCACAAACCAATATGTGTCTATTTTATTACAAAAACAAATGATTTATTTTACTTCCTGGATATTTAACCTTTTAATAGTGACATAACACTTTCCCAGACCTTTATACGACAGTGCAGCCAGTGACCTCAGTTACTATGCATGTAAATGAAGTGTTGTGTTTACAGCATCAAATGTCACTCGCTCTGTCAATGCAAAAGAAAACAATGCAGAGGTGTTTCATCGCAGGTGTATACACAACAAATGGGCAGCTTATAATCTACCTCTTGTGTTCTCACGTTACCTGAGAGTTGATCGCTGGTCCAGGTAACATGGCTCAGCGTGGCTCACCCTTCACTGCAGAAACTGAGAGGGGAGTCATTTTCAAGATCTGACACGCTTAAGTCACCTGATCCCTCCTTGCTTGTTTTCACATAAATATCTTACTCTTATATTGTTAATTAACTAGGACTGCAGCATTTTGTCTTTATGTTTGCAGGTATTCATTTTAATACCTTACACTCTTTTTTTTAACCATAGGCAGAAAAAGTTGGAGAAGGCAATGGAAGATGAAGGTTTACCAGACGAGGAGGTACAGTATGGTTTTTTTATCCTTACTTACAACTCTCAATTAGTTTTTTTTAAATTCAAACCACTGAGAGTCTCTTTGTGTTTTGCAGAAAGTAATGCGACGCTCTCAGCACGCTCGTAAGGAGACCGAGTTTTTGCGACTGAAGAGGACACGACTAGGCTTGGATGACTTTGAGTCCCTTAAAGTTATCGGACGAGGTGCTTTTGGAGAGGTATGTTAACCTGGTGGAACAGTTGAAGGCGTTTTAAGTGAACCTTTCATTTCCTCACTTCAAGTAAGGGTCATTAGGAGTGTGTGTGGTTTCTGTGGTCTTGTCACTATCACCAAAGTGTTACTACAGTGTTCATTTCATTTCCTGTGTGTTATACTTTCGATATCGTAAAACTAATACCACTGTCTTCAAGCAAAGCACTGACATACTTAAATGAATCAAGGGTGATGGTGCTTTGGAGTAAAGGAACTACGTATCCCATAAACCATTGCAAGCAATGCCCTTCAATGACCTCCAGCGAGCTTCTTCTTAAATTGAACCTTGTTGTTAATATAGTGTTATAATATAATGTAGTTCGTAGTTTTACAGTTAAACCTTTTTACCTTTTACTTTTAAATGTTCTTGTCTTATTTAAATTATATATAATTTGGGTTTGGCTCCGTTTTTTTTGTCCTTTGTGAAGCACTTTGTTACAGTTGTTTTGAAAGGTGCTTTATAAATAAAGTTGTATTCAATCATATTGCTTGTGTCTTAAAATGTGATGTCACCTCCTCCAGGTGCGTTTGGTGCAGAAAAAAGACACGGGTCACATCTACGCCATGAAGATTTTGAGGAAAGCAGACATGCTGGAAAAGGAACAGGTAAAGCATTTTGTCAACACCACAGTTCTAAAGGACGTTAGGCGCCTTGTTAAAGGTAGGAAGTCTCCCCTCTCCCTGCAGGTTGCTCATATCCGAGCAGAGAGGGATATTCTAGTCGAGGCAGACGGTGCCTGGGTGGTCAAGATGTTCTACAGCTTCCAGGACAAGAGGAACCTCTACCTCATCATGGAGTTCCTGCCTGGAGGTTTGCACTTAAATTATAAAGCTGCTTTCAGACCTGCTGTAATTCCCAGATATTCTTCGGACATTATCTGAATTAAGCTACTTCTCAGTTCAGTGCATGTCTGAAAATTGATTATTTTATTCACTTCAAACTAACAGGAAAGTGACAATATGTTAAGTGTGTACAAGAGAAGATGCTGTTTACTGAACTTAATAAATCATCTATTGATAGAAAATGATAATGACTTGTGAGCTTGTTGCCAGGCGACATGATGACCCTGCTGATGAAGAAGGACACTCTGTCAGAAGAAGCCACGCAGTTCTATATCGCAGAGACGGTTTTAGCCATCGACTCCATCCACCAGCTTGGCTTCATCCACAGAGACATCAAACCTGACAACTTGCTGCTGGACTCCAGGGTGAGACCACACACACCAGAAATCTCTTCACATACAGGTTAAACATCATCTGTTTGCATGATGACTCTGCAGGTGATTGATCAAATGTCTCTCTGCTCACAGGGACACGTGAAGCTGTCCGATTTCGGCCTGTGTACGGGCTTGAAAAAAGCTCATCGCACAGAGTTTTACAGGAACCTGACCCACAACCCACCCAGTGATTTCTGTGAGTTCAAAAATCTAACATCCACAATAAACGCCAATCACTAATGCAACCAGATCCAAATGCAGATGTATATTCATGTGCTTTGTAATACATTTCAGAGATGCCGCTTTGTTCTCCTTTTATATTTCTTGTGTATCCTTCCTTGCAGCCTTTCAAAATATGAACTCCAAGAGGAAAGCAGAAACCTGGAAGAAGAACCGCAGGCAGCTGGTAAGACTTCAGCATTTACTGGCTCTGGTATTCCAGAGAAACATTGTCTTGACCAAGCACAGACATGGTGGCATGGAAGAGCTTAGTACATATTAGCACACAAGTACTGTTATTATCCAATTAAAATGCATATTTAAAGACAACAAAAAGTAGTTTGATATACCAAAATAAATGAGCACATTATTATTCTGTTCTTGTTTTTTTAATTTCTACCTAAACTTTTCATGTGTAACTCTCAGGCTTATTCCACTGTGGGAACGCCGGACTACATTGCTCCTGAAGTCTTCTTGCAGACGGGATACAACAAGCTATGTGACTGGTGGTCTCTGGGTGTCATCATGTATGAAATGCTCATTGGTAAGCATGCATTTGCCTGTAGAGATGCTCTCAGACATGAAACAGATGCGTCATACGCATAAAAGACAAAGACAAACATGTCAACTAGGAAAGAGCTTTTCGTGATGAGGGCTGGTGTTTATGTGCTGTAAACAAAAACGTGCTATGAATTTTTATGTCATGTCATTTGCCAGAGTTCCAAACTGCACATATGAGACATGGAGAGTGCAGTGGGATTCTCTACTGCATCTTCCAGGATGCACTTGGAAAATAAAAACCACAGAATTTGGCATCATATTGAGTAACTAAAAATTGTAGATGGCACAAATCATTCAGACTTTATGTTGATTGTACAAAGTAACAGTACAGCCAATTAAATTGATCAAATGAGAAAAAATAAGGTTTTAGTATTAAGTACCACCGGCTTTTCCTAAAATTCTCTGTCTGTGTTCAGGTTATCCACCTTTCTGCTCGGAGACGCCGCAGGAGACGTACAGGAAGGTGATGAACTGGAAGGAAACGCTCGTCTTCCCACCTGAAGTCCCCATCTCAGAGAGGGCAAAAGATTTGATATTAAAGTTTGTAAAAAAAAAAAGCATTTTTAAATCAAACTCACCTCAAAGCCATATGCTAAATATGTTGGTATTTCTACTGCATATTTGAATCAGGCAGTTGTATGATCAGTCTGCTGTGTGTTTCAGGTATTGCACTGATAATGAGAACAGGATTGGAGCTGTGAGTGTGGAAGAGATCAAGAGTCATCAGTTCTTTGAGTCAGTGGACTGGGAGCACATAAGGTACAGGAAGCGTTTTGTTTTTCCACCTTCTTTTGGAGAACCACTGCTCTCTAAATTTTCCCTCTTCCTCACTGAGTGCATGATTTCCTTTGTGTTGCCTCCACAGGGAGCGGCCGGCAGCCATATCTATTGAAATCAAGAGCATTGATGATACCTCCAACTTCGATGAATTCCCTGAATCAGACATCCTTCAGCCAGGTTTGTATAAAGTATTCTTCTAGCTGCACTGCAGGAAAATGCGTTTGCGTGTTTTTTAGAATGCAAGTCTTGTGTAGTAATAGATTCTTGGCAAAAGGGAACTTATTGAGCCACAAACACATTAATTTGAACATTGTGTCACTTGAATAAGCAACAACAACAGTGCTGTTGGCCCAGTAGGGCTTTCAGTTTTTCCAAAAACCAAGTTTGAATGATTTAGACATGACACACAATTTGTTGGAAATATATTAGAACCCACCCCATCTCCACATGCATGCAGTCAGACAAGGTTGGTGTTGGTGCTAACAGGTGGGCCCATAGATTTGTTCTAAGACAGCATGTTACAAAGAAGATACACAGCCTCACCTTTAAACATTACTTTACTGTCGATGGTGTCAAGGACAAAATAATTCAACTCGCTTGCCCTTAGAGGCTCTGGTGTCATGATTGTCTGTTCAGGATGGTTTTGCTTACAAGCGTCCTCCATTTTCATAGCATAACATTTTCATCAGACATTACTGTCTCTGCTGACAGCTCCAGAGGGCGTTTGATGAGTGAAGCTCACAGTGATCGCCCTCTGCTGGATCAGGAGACAAACTACTTCAGACAGTTTGATGCGCCTTTACACTGAATATTTTGAATTTGAACATCAGTCATTACAGGTTAATCTTTTCCCCCATATTCAAATTAATGTTTGAGTTCTGGAATAAAAGGTGCCAGCCATATCACAGCCTCTTAGTTTTGTTATGGTTATAAATACTTGTGTTGGCTCCTCATTTTCATTGCAATCACAATGACCCCAAGTTGAAATTACAATTTCTTTATTCTGTGTTTGTGAACAGCCAATTCGACGGAGCCAGACTTCAAGTCCAAGGACTGGGTGTTCCTCAACTACACGTACAAGCGCTTCGAGGGTCTGACTCAGCGAGGCACCATCCCCACGTACATGAAGGCAGGGAAGGCTTGATGTGCTCAAACAGGGAGACGCCGTTGTGGAGGAAATAAAAACAAAAAACAAAAACAGACGTTTACGGACACAGGGTCGGGCCCTGGAGCCCCGCTGGTGCTGAAGGCTGCACTGACAGCCTCTCAGTCAATAAATTTAACCATCACAATAATTTTTGGTCTGCTCAGCCACCGCAAGGACTCCCAAAAGCATTACCGCATTACCTCGGTTGTTTATACTGTATACCTGTGCTGTCTATAGCCATAGCTCTCAGGCCACCTCACTAACTAGGACACTAAATCAGCATATCTGCATGTTCAGCAGCACATTGCTTCTGGAGAGATTAGGAGTGAGGCTTGGATACAAATCACTGCTTCGACATCTTTGCGTCGACAGGTCTCAGCACTGACGGCTAAATTGGCTCTGATGCAGAGAACTACTAAAGAAATACTGAGAACATGCTCTATACACTGTAGTCAAACTGTGGATTATTGATAACAACAGAACCCCTCACTCGTCCTCACCCTAACTCTGTTCACGGAAGGTTCCAGCATGATTCCTGGTGTTTTTATTCCTGCTTCAGTTCACAAAAGCTTTAGGTGTGAAAACCTCCCACTGAAGTTTCTTTTTACCACAGAGAGATATCTTGCTTTGCTTTACCTGGTGGCTTAACTAGTGCTACTAGCCCAATGGGCTGTTAGAGGGTTAAGACTTGGTTTTAGGGTTAGAATTAAGTTAGGAATAGGGGACACTTAATATATAGAGGAGTACAAGCAGCCAGGTGTCATTTTTATGTATGTTTATATTATGGCCTATGAAGATATTCCAATGAATTGGAAGGTTATCAGTGATGAAATTTGAGGCTTCTTAAACCGGTCTCAACCCCTGGTCTGCAAGGCTGCTGCTCTACTAACTGAGCTGAAGAGAACAGAAGGTAGTGGGGGTTGGCTACTAAAGAAAAAAATGAGGTATGTAGAGAATTCCAGGATAAAACATTCATATTATACTTAGATATAAGACTGTCCACAATGTACAATGCCAGAGCTGGGATTAGAGCCACAGACTCTTATGTTGCAAGCCTGGTGCTGTATGAACCGAGCTGATCAGGCTGTCTGAGGACAGTGGTGAACGGTGAGGAAAAAGAAGGTTGGGGCAAGATTTCACAATTTCACTTGGTTAGGTTAGAGGTAAGGTTTTGCTTCTGTCCACAATGAATGGAAATCAATGCAAAGTCCTGATGAGGATCGCTGCTCAAACCTCTGTGTTTGCGTCATTATTGCAGGTCCTAGAGACACCCTTTTTAACAGGAATCATCACTGAGCTGGTTTGGCAGCTGTTTGCACGTGTGTCTCTTCTGTGGACAGGTTTCGTTACCATGACTAAGCAAGTTATAAAACCTCACACGTGTGTGGTTCAGATCAAAAGGCAGAGTCGGAACATGGGTGTGGTCCTACACATGTGAGGGGCGTTCTCGTGATATAATGCAGTAATGACGACAGCTCAGAACGTCAGCATGTTGACATGTGTGGCGGCTGGTGTGACCACATAACACAATGTCTCTAGTTGGGTTTTATAAAAGGAGTAATAATACATGAAAAGTTACTGAGGGTTTTTTCATATGTACAAGTTCTTATTAAGTATTATTGTTATGGTTTCGTCTGTTAGTTAGTCTGTCTGTGTACGTTAGCAGGACTACGCAAAAATGGCTGAATTACCACAGAACTTGAAGGATTTTTTTTCCATTTTCCTCCACATTGTGAGATAGGGCGCTGTGCAACAGTTTCTCACAGAATACTTCATGGATCCTGATGGGAAAAAGTCAGGCACATTTAGGGAACTGATATTTCTGATATAGTGCCACTTATTCACAGTAATGGATGAGGTTGAATTTAAAGCTTCTGTGCTGTTACTAACTGAAAACATTTTAAAAAAGACTCGAAAGGCTATATGATATAAAACAAACAAGTGAAAACTCAAATCATGCTGGAATCCTCCTGTAACCCTCGCGGTGGTGACACAACTCCTGTGCTACTGCTTTTCTCACAGAGGAACAACTTGTTGCCAAGAAAATATCTGAATGCAGTTTACCCTCTGCTCGACATCCGTTCCTGTTAAGGGTTGACCCTGACACGGTGCCAAGCAAACTGCGCTGTGTGCCACTTCCCTTCAGGGCCCATTCGTTTGTTCAGATTAGTGCGACAGTGAAAAATATTTCCCCTGATTTTGATTCCAATCAGTCCGACAGCCAGTCTGCTCCGTAGATGGACAAAACATGCAAAGTGCCTTTAGATATTTCACCAGATCTTTTAGAGGTTTTATCAGAAATTAATCAGAAGGACGTTAATTACAATTAAGAATTAGTTATAAAGGTTAATGAGGGAGAGAAATATGAGGAAGAAAATAGAAACACAGGGAATTTATTTTCTCAATGTGCTCATTCAGCTTTTTAAATGTGCGTTGTGAGAAAAGATTATTTGTCTCTGAGGACACATAAATGTCTGATGCGTCAATCATTAAATCATGTCCTCATAGTGATAAAACAAAGGCAGTCCAGGAAAAGCTTGGTTTTATGGGTTAGATAGGGGATCGTAAAAATCTATTGCCTCAAAGCAAACATGCTGAACTAAGTGTCTTTGTTTGGCAAGTGAGGAGAAATTAAATAAGAACAGATTAATGTCATGGACACAAGTATGTTTTTTGTTTTCGTTGAGGTTTAATTTTCTTAGTTGATACTGAATTAAGTTTCCATTTGCTGTATTTAATGTGTTTCTTTCCCTTAGAAAAAGCCTCAATAACATCAAATGCAAGGCCTCGCTTTGTCGACGAAAACAAATCTTCATCACGTCTGCTCCGAGTTGGCACGAGACACCCCGCTTAAAAGTAGTAACCAAAGAACTGTGATCGCCACACGTCGTGATCTGAACACACGTGTTCAGATGTAGCTGTCGCTTACTGCACTCAACTTCAAACTACCTTTAAAGAAAAACAAGAAAAAAAATCACCTTTTTCCAAGAGGCCTAACCTTGGGTCGTGGAATAATTTGCCATTTTGGTTCCGACACTTGTCAGAAAGTGAGCGTGCGGAGACGGACGTTCCTTAGTTACATCTGTTCAGTGTCTAGAAAAGCTATAAATGTACACGCAGGGACAGGAAGTACGCTGAAGACTTAACCAGGTTGAACCAAGCTGTAGCCATCACAAGAATCCCACATAAACAGTGTGGTACAGTTTCAGAGGAATAGAACTAAGGAAGTGGATCAGTTGGAAATATAAGAGTTGTTATTATATTACACCTGCACCAGCCTCTGTCTTTTTATATTTGAATCTGTTTAACCTTAGCTCATCCAGGAAGTCCTCATGGGAACCTGTTAGCTAGGAATGCACCAACAAAACTGACCAGGAGCATTTTAATTATGGTCGACTGAAGGCAGATACATGTATATTTGTGCATTATTTATTATTTTTCAGGAGATTTTGTGCTAACATTCAGTGTATTTAAATTTGTTGATGGTCATGTTTGGATTCTCGAGGATTTAAAGGGGTACTGCAACAATTTCGACATTTTACAAAGTTAAAAAAGATCAGATAATACTGCAAATAATAAAATAATAATAATCAGAATTGATGCAGCAGAGGCCAAGGTATCCCATGATCCCACTTCTGTTGCTTTAATCCTCTATAACTACAAAATGTGTCCTCGAAACTCCAGTAATACTTCCTATGGGAAGTAAAGTGATATTAATTTATAAAAAAGAGTGCCCCTTTAATTACTGACAGAAAAGTACATTGAAGCAATCTGGATCATGTCAGATTCACTTGTATTATCCCATTAAAACAATCCAAACATGTGGGTTCAACTCAAACAGAAATGTCATGAAAGCTGAAAGCAGCACAGCAGCAGGGACTGATGCACAATGGGGGATTTTGCTGATGGCTACCGCTGCAGATTTCCCGGCTGTGTCTAATCACTGGAACATACAGACACTACCTTGAAAAAAGGCCAAACCGCTGCATCCAGATACATCTCGTCTCACAGCTGAGATGGTCCGTGAAAAACCAATGTGGGTGTGGGGGTGTGATTGTGTGAAGAAGCTATAGTGACGGAAAAGGACATTTTCATGAAGTAGTAGAATAATCAGTGATTTCTGTTGTTGGGAGGTGACACGTCACCTTGTTGTGACTCTTCTGTGCTGCAATAGAGACATGACTACACTTTTATTTTCATCACAAGAACGTGCACAGAAAAACAAGTAAGAGGAGGAAATACCGTATTTGGGATCCACACAATTCTATGTATATATAAGAGAACTTGAATTCCGTTGCTGTGCCACTTTATCTGAGAGGAGCTAAATTATGGTGAGAAATAGGGATTTAGAGAATTTTGTTACTGAGTTAAGCCAGATAACTATTTTTCTGAACAGCCAAACATAACAACATCACACAATCTGTCACGACTGGATGTTTAGGGAACATATTTTCCCAACTCAGATTAAGGAAAATGTACATATCCAAGAATAAAAGCCAGTGACACAAAATAATAAAACGTACCTGCGGATCAGAGGCTCATTCACATCTAGCATCTAGGTTTAAATTCAAGTAGTCTACTTCTCTGCCTCGGAAACCCCAGAGCGCAGCCACTAAGCTTATAATGTGTAATTTCCCCCCTTGTTAAAGCAAGAATCCCCTTAATGAAGGTTTTAAAAGCCCTCTGCAGGCCATGTGTTTTAGGTGTAATGATGTACATATTGTGGTAGACGCTTGAAGGAAGCTATCTGTGGAGTGAAGGACGGATGGTTCATTAATATATTCATTCACACTGGTGAGTTTTTATGTAGATAAAATGCTTAAAATAATAAAACAATTAAACACCAAAAGGTTTTAAGGTTTCTTTTATTTGATGGAGGCTGTGAGGCAGGCGGGTCTTAAAAGTTCTCCTCTAAATTGAGACCACGTTTCCCATAAACACATGGGGCGTGGAGGCCTGGAGAAAGGTCGAGAGAAACATTTTGTGTACACAGTATTATTACTTCTATTACTACCTCCACCAAGGTGGTTATGTTTTCACTCCTGTCTGTTTATTCACTTGTTTGTCAGCAAGATTACATGAAAATTAATTTCGAAATTTCCCACAGAACTTGAACTGATATCTTTGAGTGTTCTATTTGTCTTTCGTCATGTTTTTAATGGTGTCATTTTTGAAATAATAATAAACTTTATTTATATAGCACTGTTAAAAAACAAGTTAAGATCATTAAATCATAAAATGATATAAGAAATTCAGATGAGATATAAAAGAGGAGGTGATAGCTTGTCTGATTGCCCTCACAGCAAAATCTCTACCGCCCTCTGTTTCATGCCGTACCCTGGGAACCAGGAGCAACAGTTGGCCTGCAGATCCCAGAGTCTGAGCAGGTGTGACCAGGATTAAAAGGTCAGCAGTATAAGAGGGAGCGAGCCGCGTAAGAGCTTTGAAAGCTAGTAATAAAATTTGGAAATCATTTAATCTCTTAATATGTCAATAAATAAAAAAGATCAGTAAAGATTTGCTTCAGAGCAACAATGTGTCAGTTTTGTCCCTGCAAGCGCCAACTGTGCCGCTAGGGGGAGCTCTTAAAACAGTTTCCAGCTGGTCAGGAATGGACACCTCTGACTCACATGTACTGTTATTGTCTGATTCTGTTTTAAATGATTATATCTGCACCAAGTCCTGTTTAAAATCACAGAGATCAAGTTCATGGGTACTTATTCACAAATCTGATGCAGGCTGAAGTCACAAAGATTGTTCTGGTTAAAATGCTTGTTGGGGGAGACTGCAGTGTTTGTATATAGTTCAAGTTTAACTTTATATTTAATTATGCAGTAATTACAGTGGAAACTCGAGATCAGTCAACATACACATGATCAATAATCCTATTTACTCCTAAACGATACATATTAAATAGCTTATTATTGTAATGATGGAGAATATGAAGTCAGAGGTTGATGTTTCCGTGGTCAGATCTTTTTGCTGTAGAAATCTATGAACAACTTTTGTTCACAGTGAATTGCTTTGATTTGAATGTGGAGGAGGAGACCCACCTGTCCACATGATTTACTGACATCTCTTCACGTGGAGCGGCAGCCTCCTTACAAACATGGTTACGTGGTCGAGTGGCCAAGAATTCAACTTTTTTCTTTCTCGACCCAGCAAAAAAAAAAGGTTCCATCTGTGTTAACCGGGTTTCTCCTGATCGATTATCCCAATAACAGAAACTGGGTTTGTGGTTTTCATCAAAGAAATCAGGTTACTTAAGTGGTTGTGAAGGCTCCTGATCAAAGTCTCTGACCTGATGTTCCATGTCATGACCCCATTACTGTCAAACAACACAGCCCCCACTGACTGCATATCAACCAGAGCTATGATAGTTCATTGAGCTATATGTTTTATAGATGAGGCAGTTTTATCTAAAGAGCCCTTATCATACACTGAGGCAGATTCAAGGTACAGGCACAGTGAAAAACAACCCAAATAAATCCATTCGAAATTAAAAATCACAGTTTTAAGCAAAATATAAGTGATTAGCACAGAAAAGAAGTCAAAAAAACCAGAAGGAATCATTTTTATTAAAATAAATTACAAATATGTTAAAGGGGTAAAMTTATACAAATAAAATAGACATATGTAACAAATAAAATAAAATAAATAATGCTATGACCCTCTATACCTCTGCATAAAAACCCAGCAAAGAGTAAAATTATACAAATAAATAGAGGAACATGTAAAACATAATGAAATTAAATGAAAAAATAATCTTGATTTAAAAGCTTCAATGGATGAAGCATTCCTAAAAGACAGTCAGGCAGTTGATTGCTGAACCAAAACTCTCTCTTTCTCTCTCTGCCTTTCGTGTTTATGTGAAGTTGATTTAAAGTTATTTTAACTTCTCCACGATCAGTGACTGAATTATAGGATATGCAAATTTTTGCTAGAGGGAGAACAAAAGAGAGAAAGAGAGAGGGAGCTTTGTTTGTGTCAGGAAAAGAAGAGCCAGGGTGGAGCTTGGCGACACAGAGGTCACAAACAGGACAGGATCACCAGCCAATACCCCAAAGATGCAATCTAATCAAACCTGAAGGAGTGAAGCTTCTATCTAAACAAACCCCCCAAAACAAATCTATTCATTCTTCTTTTTGTTGTGAATGTGAAAAAACCTGTAAAGGCAAAAAAAAAACTGTTCAGTCATTTGTTTCCTCCTGCAACAGAAGTGAACCCCTTGGCATAATGATGGAAAAATCTATTTCAATGTAAATGGTGTAACAGTGTTTAGAGTAATTGAATTACACTGAACAAAAACTTGGTTACTTGTGTGTCGGACACTTTATGGTAGCTTTCCAAGAAATGCCATCATCTCACTATAACACCTTGAAATGGTATCATATCGCTTTATTGCACCACATCTCCTGATTTGACCTAAATCTATAATGTGCATGATTGTGATAGGTGGACATTCTTACATTTCTGTCACAGCTTTAATGTATTTATACTTTTCTTTGCGATGCACTTTGCAACTCTGTTATGCGAAGCACCAAATAAACTAAGACGTTTCTCATCCTTTATTTCAAACCGTGGAGGCGATGACAGAGATAAAAACATACAGGTGAATCATTGACAGAAAACAAACAGAGCAAGACACTATGAAGGGACATATCTTTATTAAATCAGATACAGAATGAGTACCTAAATAAACAGGTGTGAGTGCAATAAAAAAGAAAAGTCAGATAAAGACATAAAAAATATTGCATGCATTCATAGAAGACGTTGTATTCCTCAACAACTAATCTTTTTATTTGTGAACAAACATTTAAACACGTGGAGTTCGACGCCAGATCAGAAATGCTCACAGTCTGACTTCACTCCCATGGTCTCTCTGTCCTCCGCGTGCGCGTGTTTCCCCGTCCCATTCACGACGTTTCCGGGCTGGCGGACGTGCACGCGTGACGCCACTTTCTCCGTGGACGCTCTTTAAACGGGTTAACGAGGCAACCCACGCCACGTGACCGCTGCGTTATATAATATATAGGTCAACACGTTTCTCCGTGGCACGTGCGGTCTCTCGCTTACATAAAGTCTCGTGCTGAGGTCTCGAATTACACTATGTAGGTGAGGGCCAAAGATCGTCAGCGCTCGGGAGGATGTATCACTTTGAGGAGTTTTTTTTATTTTTATTGTTGTTTCAAATGAGGACACCCTGAGAATAGAATAGTTGCAGAAGCCTAGATATGTTCACCCCACTTTAAAGTTTTTGAGTAAGTCAACACTGTAGCATCAACATGTGTGAGGTTTATTCAGGGAAACACGCACAATCTTTCCCCAGGTAGAAATAAAGCTGCCTCTTGGAGAATTTGGTTTAAAAGTGCAAACCAGATTAGGTTTTGGTGATTCAGGAGTAAAGTCCCTTTGTGTTATTTCCCTTTTGGTGCTCTACCTTCATTGTGCAGATGATAAAAAGCAGCAGGGTGTGATTTATTAAGAAGATAAGATCTACTTTATTGGTCCCAATCCGGGGGGGGGGGGGGGGGGGTTCCTGGGTTACAGCAGCAGATAGTCAGGGTGAGGCAAACAAGAGAAGAAGTGGAAGTAGAAATGAGAATAAAATGGGCAATAAATAGAAATCAAGATATAATACACATCTACACTGCAGTGGGTAATATCATGTGTGGAGTGCAGTAGCACTGGATGCTTGCACGAGGCTGTATACTGGATTTGTGCATTATGTATGAGATAGTGAAATAGATGCATACAACACTGCTACTGTTATTGGTGTTTCATGCTTTTATGTCTCTGTCTATTTCTCCACTGGATAGAGATTCATTCAGCCCGAGTAAAATGTCAGAAGAAAAAGTACATATGCAGGTATGGTATGGAACATGAATGGAGTACAAAAATTCATAGTAGTATACTCAGTAGCTGAGTATAAATAACTAACTATATAAGGATGTGTGTATAAACATAATCACCCACAAAAGATCATTCAAGGCAAAGTGAATTATATATTCAAAGAGAATGGGATCTTTCATCTGAAGCTAATGACACATGTTCATATTGATTGCACCTGAGGGTCCCACCAGGATCACGTGATCTGTTTACTGCTGATTATACAAACGGTCATAGTAGCGAGATGCTGATTCATGAGTGGGATGAGGTGAATGGGCTGCGGCCGTCATGACGGGCATGAATGAACCGAGGACGAAGAAGGAGACAAGTGTGCACTCTCCCTCCTTGTTCTCCTCTGTCCACGCGCGCACACACACACACCCTCCTTTGTTGAAACACGCACGGGAGGAGGAGAGTGACGAGGAAAAAAAAAAAAAAAAAATGAAGTCAATTATACAACACACCGGCGGCTTCTCCCTCCGCCTCTCCCTCCTCTTCCCCATCCCCACTACTACAGCTGGTGGCTCCACATGCGCCGCGGCGCTCCGTAGCCTGCAGCGGGCACACCGGCTCCAGTCCGTCGGCATGTCGGCCGGTGACTCCGAGGGGACGGCGGACAGGCCAGAAGGTAGGAAGACAACCACAACCACTGAGCACCATGTCTGTCTGTCTGTCTGTCTCCAATGTTTATCACCGCTGCTTCCATCTAAATCACGCGTCGTTACTTGGCTGCGAGAGCGAAGCAGAGGAGACGCTGCTGGAGAGAAAGTAGTTCTGAAGTTATTCAGCCTCTTCACACGCGCACGGAGGTCAGACTTTTAACGCACGTGTTACAGAGAAATGCGCTTTATTGCGTTTTGTTGTTGTTGTGGTTGATTTAACTTTGTTTAATGGTGGTGACATCACTGTCGGCTGCTCCCGTGACGCCGCCGCCTCGTCGGCAGCAGCAGCGCGGGGGCAGCGATGGTTAGCATCCCGGCTAATGTAGCGCACCTGTCCGGTGACCCGCCGTCACTACGGACACACCGACTGGCAGCCGGTGAACGGCCGCCGCGCGTGTCCCGGTGTCCATTCATCTTTCTGTGTTACGTGCTCGTCTCCGGCGGGACGTGCGCGGAGGGGGCAGCTCCGCTCCATGTCGGTGCAGCGGGAGGAGGGAGGAGGGAGGGGGTGGGGGTGCAGTGACTGTAGCCATGACAACAACTCTTTTTTCCTTCATATTTTTATCAACCATTAAATTTCATTCGCTTCTTTCTGAGGGAAGCTTTGTGTGGGCATCCTTCACCGCACTGCCCTCTGGGAGCTGTAGTTTCGTCCCGTTCAAAACTAGGTCAGTAGAACAGTAGAGCAGCGCTGCCTTCACCGAGCAGCAGGGGGCGCTGGTCCACCCAGAAGCTCTGCAAGTACACAAGCCACATTAGCTTTACACTTAAAACTATAATAAATAGAGATTTGGATTAAAACAGCAGAGTGTTGCCAGTGTAATAGACTGCTATCGTTTTGTATTCAAAGATCCTATTCCACCTTTGTAATTAAATCAAATTGTACTTGTTTATATTATATTTTTATTTATATCACCCATACTTAGCTTCTCTTCACTGGCTCCCAGCAACTTTTACAATTTATTGTACGTTTTTACAGCTGAGTTTTAAAACCCATTCTGGACTGAAGTACATTACATATCTTTTGACGCCATATGTACTAATCTTAACCTGATCTTAACCTGAGGTCGTCAGTGGAGGCCCTGCTCTCCATTCCACGGTCCTGCCTGAGCTCCAGGACTGATTGGGTCAGTTCTGCAGAGCTCCTCAGTCCGGCAAACTCCTTATCCTCTTATAAATCCCCCTTAAGACTTTTTCCTAGTTTTGATCCATCCATGGATGAATATATCTATAGATTCTACAATGTTTTTTCTTGTTTTTAAGCTTTTCTCATCATCATTGTATTTGTGCTCTTATCTTTTGTGATTCTCAAATCGTTTTAAGTTCTTTCCTGTTGAAGGACCCGAAAACACCTGATGACCTCAGGAACATCTCTGAGGATGTGTCCCAGCGCATCCTAGCATGTATCTTTGAATCTGTTGTCATATATTTTAAACTGTTCCCCATAGTTTGCCTTAAATTTCTTCCTTTTTTTCCTGTAAAGCGCCTTGTAACTGTGTTTTGAAAGATGCTATATAAATAAAGTGATTATTACACTTAGAAGTCAAGTCAGTGAATAATAGAATAGCACAAGGATGTAGCGATACACAATAAATACAAGCAATAAAACACACTGATAAACTGGCAACGGTAAGAAAATATTTTTTCTTCCTAAGCCTTTAATAGAAATTGTAAAAGCTGCTAATCAGTAGGAAGCCATGACTTTAAAAGCATGGCCACCTTGTTGATCAGGTGCCACCTGGTCAGAGGACAAGGTAACCTGCTTCGGCAGGAAGTTACAAATCAATATGAGGGGTAATAATGTTGTGAATTAAAATAATACTTAACTTCTTGCTACCCACGTTGGACTTTATGTGAATTTAAAATAGATATTACTGGCTAATATATCCCCCTGATAGTCTATTAAAACATAACCTACTATCAAGTGCATGGGACTCTATAAAGTCATTATTAAACATTACACATACAGGAAACACCTACAACAGCTTATGTTGACATTTTTACTGCCAGATTTATTTATGTTCAGGGAAGATTTGAAGACGCTTAAGTCCCTGACTGAAATCTTAAACACAGTGCCCACATTTCATTAGTAACTGGATAGATGCATCATGGTTAATATTAAGTGTAAAATAATTTGTCTGGAGACTTGGAGCCAGAGACAACAGCAGATGCTTTATGTCTTCCCTGGTGGTTCTCGCTCTGAGCTGCACCACAGCCTCGCTCAGCTCTTCACCAAGTGGGACGCTGCTCAGTCAGACCGAGATCAGGTGACTGACTCGGCGGGTCAGTCAGCTCTGTGGTTGCTGTGGTCGTGTGTGTCTGTGATGCAGGAGAACACGAGGCTCCTGTAACCTCTGCGTTCATGCCGTTTTCTCCATCAGCAGTGAGATCACCAATAAATGCAAGTGCTCCACTTTCATTGGCAGCCAACCATAACAGAACCACAGCCATGTTTGATGGATGATCGGTTCCTTATTTTTCTCCCCAATCCCCTCTTTTCACTGTCAGCTGTGATCCAGTTCTCCACCAGTTCATTCGTGTTCATGAAGCACAACATATTTCAGAAGTAACATTTTATGTGTGTAGTTTGTAGAGCTACAATTTATGTGCGTATACATACTATCAAAGGTTTTCATTAATTCAGTATTTACATTGGATTCATTTTATAGCCAAGGTAAAGGTTTTAGTTTAAAATGACCAAAACTTAGAATTCTAAATATATAAAACACTACTGAAAATCATTCTGTGTGTGTGTCACAACTTGGCTCTGTGTTAGGCGAGTGAAACTAGTTTTAGCATGTTTTGTTTAACAGAACCGTGAAACAGCAACAACAGGTTGTATCAAAATCTGGTGAGGAATGGTCGGAAAAAAACCTTTGTTTTGTTATTTGTGGCCCAGTTTATTGGATAATTATTGGACTTCTGTTTTGTTATGGGAGAAGCTTTCGGCTTATTTCTGATTTGTATTAAATTAGGCGATTGCAATGTGATTACTGGTGTATTTTTCTGTTGCGTCTGTATTCTATGGTTGGGTGATGTGGCCATAAATGTTATCAAGATAAAAATGTTCCTATCAGTAGACATTTGTTTGTCTTAAATATTTTAAGTTGAATGACTGACTTTTGCTCCTGAGTGAAGACAAGTACTTGATAAACAGCAAAACATTTTACAAATCAGAGGTAGATTAATGATGTGTTATACCTGCTCACTGTGTTTCTATAAAGCATATGCAACATGTCAATATATATTGAACCTTTGCTGTATTGCTGTTTTTTCACCCAGCCCTACTGTATTCAAAACCAGGCCACAGTTATACATCATACTCTATTTGTATCACAAAATACCTTGATTTTTATTGAAATTGGATTCATTATACATTCATTAAAAAAAGGAATGTCCATAAAGGAGTGCATGTAGGTCATATCATGCATAGTTTCTGTCTGTCAGTAATGTTGCATGACATGTGCTGCCCCTGCAGCTTTGGCCTCTTGTCAACACTCGCGTGACTCATGTATCTGACCGTCCATACGTGCTCTGCACAGAGCTGACATCACTGTGGCCTCCCAGACGGCACGTTTCAGCCGCCCAGCTGGCACAGGGATCCTGTGAAAATAAAATGACTAGGAAACAGTGTGACGTTAGAGGTGGTGTGCAGTGCAGAGCTTGTGGTGAGTGGAATGGGGGGCTGGCATGAAGCGCTCACTCCCACATTCCAGTTTTGCGTCAGTGATGACCCACTAAACTCCTCGGGAGGGATTTAAAAAAAAAAAAAAAGGATTTCATTATCATTGAAGCCACTACTGGAACTGTAAAATGCTTCACTTTTTCCAAAAGCTTCATGTGAAAACCTAGTTTGTGTTTTGTGCCTGTGAAAAAGGGTCAGGTTTTCCTCACACGTTTACATCTTGGTTTTCTGAAAAATAAAGTGTTATTTATACCAGTAAAGTCTGAGACAATTATCAAAATCAACTGTTAAGCTTTAAAGGTACATTATTTTCTTCAGTGTCCCAGTTAATATGATAAAACTGGCAGATAAAATCGAGTCTTTACCATCTCCTATAGTTCTCTGCTTTCTTGCACTTCTTTTCTTTTTTGTACCTACTTAACTTCTTTTTCTAAATAATTGTGTCTTGTACGCCTGTTTTGGGCTGTGCACATAAGTAAAAATCAATCACACTCTTACTTTTCAAGAAAATAGAATGTGGGTTAGTCATGGTCAACAGTACCACTGAAAAGCTTTTTCCACTTTTATCAACACTTTCTTTCCCCAGATGAAAGTCACTATACACAGTACGGGAGTCCTAGAGAGAAGTAGGTCATTGTTACAGCATTATATAAACCTTAGGTAAGGTGATAGCCCAAACCCCATTTACTCTCACGTGCCTGTTCAAGTGCCAAACAGCAAGTAAAGCTGGAGGTTTGGCGCCGTTTAATGGCAGACCTGAGAAAGTGCAATGAGAGTTTGCCTGCAGGAGCAGATGAGGCCAAGCATTTGAAGTGTCTGTGTGTGTGTGTGTATCTGTGAGAGTGTGTGGGGAGATGGGAAGGTGCAGGTTTGGCAGGAGACGAAGTAGAAAAACCCTTTAAACAATAGAAATGCATTCTATAAATATTTTTTCATTAAGCTTATTATTTTATCTAATCTTTCCATAATTCAAATATGTTGGAGAGAGATGAAATGAGAAGAATTCTGGCTCTCCTGCAGTCAGTCTCAAAGTCAGATGAACATTCCTTATTGAAATAATTGCCGCCCTTACATGATGCGTCATCCACGGAAAAAAATGGGCTTTTGATGACTGAAATAATTTTAAATATTGAGGGAATTTGTGAATTTTGGTTTGAAAATCCGAGATTGAAATTTCAGATGAAAAATTGATTGAACTTCATGTCAGACCTCTAAACTAATCTCAAAATTCTGTTTTCCAATTCAATCGTCTCCTCTTATCAAATCAAACCATATAGATCCAAAGATATGCTTTGTTTTCTTTTTCTCGTCACATCGAAAAATGAATGTGGCCTTTATTTGCTTCCGTATTTTCAGAGTTTTCAAAGACAGTCAATGTCTTTGTGTCGTTTTGACTATTGTTTCTTTTTATTATTGACTTTCTAACACTGACATAGCTGCCATGGTCACATCCAACTAACTAGATTCAACAAATGACTGAACACTTTGTTAGAAAATCAGGGTTGAATAGTTTATTTAATTATAGTGACAGAAATAATCTATTTTTGACAAGGTCACAGTTGTGCATACTGTTGTCAATGATCTCCACTGTACATCACTGCCAGTGGTTGAAGGATGAGAGGTGACATTTGGACGTTGCTTTACTCATTGCCAGCAATTAGCTGAGTATACAGCCCCTTGATGCAACTTATCAAAATAAAACTATATATGTGTTTTTTACTTGGCTGGAGGTGTCAGTGATGAATCTTCTCATCCACTGTTGAATATGTGCTACGAACGCTTCAAACCCTCCAGGCAGAGCAGGGTTAACTCCTCGTGAATTATTAATGGAGCATCTGACACTCTAGCAGATCTCAAGGTTGCTGTATTTATTTTCCCCGTGTCTCACGTCACTGTGTTGGTTGTTTTTTTTTCATGTATCCGATCCTGCTGCAGAGGATGAAGGGCCGAAGCAAGTGGGCCCGTCGCTGCCAGCTGTCGAGCTGCCAAGGAAACGAAAGGGAGATGTGGAGGAGAGGTCAGACGCCCATGTACAGTAAGAGGAGTGCTACGTTGTTTCATCGTAAATTAGAATCAGTGTCATTTTACTTTGTTTCCTCGGGCAAATACACCTGGATTACCATACAATCTTCTCATTTTACAATAAGAGACTTACATGTACGCACATACACGTGTGCATCTGATCCTACAGGCAAAGCCTTGACTTCCAAATGGAGGATGACCTCAGCAGGTACACTTCCTTCTTGTCTTCACTCACACACACTGTGTTATTAGAGAATGGCAAATCAGATTTTTTAAATCTCTTTGTCTTTAGATCTGAAGGAGAGGATCAGCAAGTCAAACTTAAATGCTTCAGGTGATTCTACTGCATTCTTTATATTCTATATTTCAATGCTAAAAACATAGAATGTTCTGATTGGTCTAGTGCAGTGTCTGTTCTAAAGCCGCCTGTGAGCTTAGTCTGTGTCAAAGCTCTGGAGCTACAAATTATTCCTCGTCATTAGTGAGTCCTCCTCAGACAGTTCCATAATAAACTGTCACTCTTTGTTGTTTGTGTGCTGGATGTTGTGTGCAGAGCTTTTCATAAACACTCTATAGTGCAGAGTGAGTTCATCCTATGTGGTTTGTCTGCAGTGAAGATTTTATCATGTTTTTACGATACAGAAAAACTGCTAACGAGAAAGACATTCTATGAATGTTGCTGCCATGATGGATATCAGCACCTGTGTTATGTCTCTGTGTCTGTCTGATATGGGGAATCAAAATATCATCTTATTATCAAAATGATCTGCATGATCGTGATTGACAGATCTCACCTAACTTGGCATTGCACTTTCCATGACAGTTAACAATACACAGTGTCAACAGTTCACGTGATGTGCATTCCAAATACAGACAGACAGACAGACTGTGGAATATTTACTTACTTATTTGTGGAATAAGATGTTGGATTTAATGTGTGACGTCAGTCGCTATTTTAAAAACAATATCAGCTTCCACCTTTTTAAATACCTGCATTATTTACCATTATTTGAACTCTTGGTTCTAAATTGTGTATCACAGACCGTCTAATAACTGACCATTTATTCTATTTCCCTATTATCCACAGGGAGCCTCACCGGCAGATCGAGAAGCGGCGAAGGGATAAAATGAACAACCTCATTGACGAGCTGTCAGCCATGATCCCCGCCTGTCAGCCCTTGACCCGAAGACTGGACAAGCTCACTGTGCTGAGGAAGGCCGTCCAACACCTGAAGGCCCTCAAAGGTATCTCTTAACCCGCCTGGCGATTTGAAATGTCATCAACGTCTCTTTCCTGTTCAATCCCAAACCTGCTGTTAACTGATTTATTTTCCAGCTGGGCCGAGCGGCGCCTTCACAGACACCAACCACAAGCCTTCCATCCTTCCTCAAGATGACCTCAGGCACCTTCTGCTCAGCGTAGGTGCTTATGTGTGACCCCAACAAGTCCCGTTTGATATTTACATTCATCTGTCTGTCTTTTAATTGTTTTAATATACCTTCCAGGCTGCAGACGGCTTCCTGTTAGTTGTAAGTTGTGACCGGGCAAAAATCGTCTTCCTCTCCGAGTCCGTCTCCAAGATCCTCAACTTTAGCCGGGTGTGTTACACTGATGCTTCTTTATACATCACACACTCAGATAGATAGATACTTTAAAGCAAAAATAAAGTATGTACGATGGGATGTAAAGGCCATTAATAATTATTATCATACTATTATTCTTCCCCCAAAAATTATTGTCAAATTCCAACTTTATTCTTGTATTTCTTCTCAATCACGACTTCTTCATTGTAATAATAGTAGACAAGAGACAATGGTAGCTTAGTAAAGTAGTTTACTGACTACCGTGGATCCTTTTTGCTCAGCTTTATATTTTTGTCAAGGCCCCACTAGTACTTGTTGTTTTATTCGGTTATATACAACTCGGACTCCTCATAAACTGCTGCTGTGGACACAAAACAAACACATGAAACGTTTTATTGAATCTTTGTAGAAGGTCTGATCACACTGAGTGATATTTGTCTGCAGGATCCAGCTTTTACACCAGGTTACAACCTTTAAAGTTGGTTTGCAGTGCCTGGCAGAATAATGACCACACCTGCTCTTTATTCTTGACCACATTTTGCAGCATGTTTAGCCTTAACCGCTAAATGACTGATGAGTATACATGCTGCAGCAATTCTTCTGGTTTCATCCATGGTGCTCAGTTGCACATTTACTGTCTGCGGAGCTGGTGTGTACAAAGGGAGGTATCTTTATCTTCCAAATTAAATTCAGTGAGAGTGAATATGAGGCTAAGCAAACAGCCCATCACAAAGGAAAATGGTGGCAGTTTAATGCAGAATCAAAGCAAAACTGCTCGTATGATGTAAATCAAGACAGTTCAAAACATATATGATTGGAAGGTGAATATGTGTGTCGTTGGATTCACAGTTGGAGCTGACTGGGCAGAGCCTGTTCGATTTCATCCACCCCAAAGACATCAACAAGGTGAAGGAACAGCTGTCGTCTTCAGAGCTGCACCCTCGCCAACGCCTCATCGATGCAGCAAGTAAGTCTCTCCCCCATGTCTGTTTAGAGGAGTTCAAGATAACTAATGAGCACTGTGTCCTAATCATAACTGGCGTTGTGTCTGTCTGTGTGCAGCTGGATCTCAGATGCAGGCCGACAGCCCCGTCAGGGCGTCCAACTTGTCCACTGGGGCTCGGCGAGCCTTCTTCTGTCGCATGAAGCACAGTCGGCTGGCAGGCAACCACGAAGAAAAACGCCCCATGCCCAATTCTTTCAAAAAGAAAGGTGGGCTCAGAGAACCACTCAAAGCCTGTTTATACTACAAGTCACTTTCCCCAATTCACACACACATTCATATGGTGTTTCTATATTCCTAGCTTTTTCGCATTCATCATGTCAGGGGGAATTTGGGATTCTGTATCTTGCCCTACTTGTAGACTGAAGGGGCCGGGGGTCGAACTTATTTAATAATACTCTAACGGAGCCACTCACTTATAAAATAAACCTCTGTTCTAGATAAACATGCGCAGACAGAGACACAACTTCAACTCCTCTTCTTCACACGAACCAGTCACACTGATCGGGCTCTACTGCTCCTTGCTGTTTCATGATTCCCAGTTTATTCCATGTGAGAGTCCAGATGGATGGGATGTGCTACACAACAAGAGCCAGAAATCTGCTGTTTTAAATCATTGTGTTTGCATTAATCCAGTCTTGAGGTGATTAAGCACAGAGTTTCTGAGTTTCTGTGAGTGGAGCCTTCTCATCTATCGTGACTCTCAGAGTTCAAGGTAACTTGATTGTTCTTCAGTTCAATCAGAAAACCTCCCACCTGACATTTCCAGAAATGAACACTTTGACCCACTAAGATGAGGAGAAGGAGGATCGAGGATATGTGTTCAAAGATTGATGAGATATTTAAACATGTTTTAGTACAATGAGGTCACTGTTCAGGCAGGGTGTGCAAAGCAAACAAATATAGTGGAAGATTTGTGCCCTGCCTGGATTGCCCAAGAGGGAATAAAGAAATGACTTGATAAGGATCTGGTGGAGAAGAGGGCGAGGGCGTGGATGGGTTGCGACTGCCTCGTCCCCTCTCGCCAACTTGTTTGCTCGGGTTGAATTTAAGTAGGTGAGCCTAACCTATATTCCCATGACCTCAGTTTCAATAGAATGAATGACGAAAAGCTACTGTCATATCTCTGCAGCTGCTTATTATTACAGTATTAACCACCGTAACTACTGATATTTGTTTTCCCCACCCATGTCTCACACTTCACAGGCAGAATTTTCACATCTTAATCCCACATAAATAAACTATCACATTGGTAGTTAGTTAAAGGTTGTCTCTTAACTTTTCTCAATGTGGGTCAGTTATGAAAGAATTCAGGGTTCGAGCAAGACCGTTTTTTTTCATCCGCCAAAGAGATGTCACAATTTAAAACATGGACAGGAAGTAGGTCAGTGTTGCAGCATTGTATAATCACAAAGTACCAAGATGGTACAAACCCCACTTACTGTAAACCAAACTGTGGCGCCTGCAGAAACAAGAGGTGCGGGACCACTCAGTGGCAAACCTCAGCAACTGCACACACTTTTGATTTCCACAGTGCTCCTGATAGAGCCACTGAAAGCGCCAACAAATCGGAGGTTTTGAGAATTCAGTCGTAATATCATTAGAAAAAAAAGTCCTAATAAAGGTTTCTCAAGAAACAATCAGACTGATAATCAAGATTTTGGATCCAGAACGAATGGAACTCGTAATATTATGACTTTTCTCTCATTAAATAGTCTTTATTATAATTTTATCACAACCTTTTTCTAATATGGCCCTAGTACTGGTATCCTGATATAATTACTCAACTATATGAGAATCAGTTGATTATTAATGAATAGAAACAGTTGAAAATCCAAGATCCTGTGTGTGAGCAGGGATGTGTGACTTGTTTTTTTTTTCTCCAATGACAGACTCTTACAGGTACTGTACCCTCCACTGCACTGGATACATGCGGAGTTGGCCGAGCAGCCAGATGGGCTTGGAGGGAGAGGCCGAGAAAGAAACCTCATGTCTGACCTGTCTGGTGATGGTGTGTCGCCTCCACCCCCACGTGTCCCACCACCAACCCAAAGACATCACCATCAAGTCCACCGAGTTTGTCACCCGCTGTGCGCTCGACGGCAAGTTCACTTTTGTAGACCAACAGTGAGTTACCCCACTTCTAACTACCCGCATCTGCACCATCTATCTCTCTGTCGTGAGGCATGGATTTGCTTTAAGTGCACGGCTCCGCTAAGAAAGGAACGGCCGGGGGGTGCGTTGAGACGAGGAGGCCTCTGGGCGTAGAGCGTGAGGTGTTTTTTTTGGGCAGTGGAGATAATCCTTTCTGTCTTTGCCGTTGTTTCTTAGAAGGAGATGTGCATCTTGATGGCATCACATGAAAATCTCTTCTCATTTTTGGGAAGTAATTTCACTCCATAAGTATCATTTGATGAAATATCCCATACGTGTGACTGAAGAAGTGTTTAACGTGTGGAGAGGCTCATTTGTACAGTATCCGCTTTTTTTCCATTCCATTGTCACTTGTTTTTTGAGCAGCACAAACCTGAAAGACAGTGAGAGAGACTGAGAGGGCAAATGTATTTAAACTTCTCATCCTCTCTTCTCGCAGAGCCACGACTGTCATAGGTTATCTGCCGCAGGAAGTTCTCGGCACGTCGTGTTACGAGTACTTCCACCAGGACGACCTGCAGCACCTCGCAGAGACACACAGGCAAGGTGAAGGAGCAAAGACAGCATGGCTTACAGATCTTATCCCATATCAGATTCAACCATAGACTGTATATAAACACAAGATGTTTATGATGATTGACAATGCAGCACACAAATTCTTTTTCGACAGAATGTGACCTTTTCTCTAATTAACAGCATCAACAATGTTTTGTTATCTCTCTCTGTGCCTTGTGATAACACCCGTGTCCGATCTCTTGGCAGTTCTTCGAAGCAAAGAGAAGATTGAGACGCAGCGCTACAAGTTCAAAACAAAACATGGCTCCTATGTCTCGCTTCAGAGTCAGTGGTTTAGTTTCACAAATCCATGGACCAAAGAAGTTGAGTTTATCGTGTCTTCAAACAGGGTCATCTCGTAAGTATTGCGTCCTTCTTGTGTCACAGCAACACCTCAGAAACAGGATCATTAGAGAGCGAAATGGTGACCGTCCACATTTAGTACGGTTCTGGTTCAGGAAGTACATTTCCCAATCATTTTCTCAAGTCAATTTTTTAGAAAATTATGAATCTCTGAATTGTGACCATTAAACATTTGGAAAAAAAAATATTGGAAAATGGAATTAAAGGCAAAGGTTCAAGACTGTGTACATAAATATTTTAAGAGTGAAGAAACTAAACCCATAAAGCATTGTGAATTATCCCTTTCCAGTGTCTTCCAGCGCTTCTTCTTGAATTTGATGTTGATCTAGCTCGTTTCACAGTCAAATAGCTTGTGGTGAGTCTAACCTGGATGCTTACAATATTATGGCTGAAAATCAAAATCTCTATTCAGAAAAGTAAATGGGATTTTAACTTTTGGAACCAAGCTGTTGAGCTCCATTGGAAAAAGGGGATGCCTCATGCTCATACTCATATTTTACAACTTTAATAACTCTGATATTATCGACTTAACACTGTAAAAAACGTTTTAATGGTGACCTCATCAGCTTCATATTACCATACATTACAGTATGTTCATGCATTAAGTAGCGTGTGTACTCCTTTTTACCAGCAGGGGGCCTGGTCACACAAAAGATGAGGAGGCCGGAGTCTCAAAAGCACTTCAAGGTAAAAAACAAATAGATAGTTTATTCGCACAGGTGTTTATCTCAGTTTTTTTTACATCATGCAAACATTGATTCTATTTTCTCCTTTTCCCACAGAAGACACAAAACAAATACCCATAATTCCCGGCCTTTCTAGTGGTTTGGGTACAATGATCTACGCAGGAAGTATAGGGACCCAAATCGCAAATGAGCTCATCGACTCCTACAGGTGCATTGAGAATATATATTTGTGATGTTTTTTTGTTTCCCTTATACTAATATTTCAACATTAACAATGATAATGTCAGCATCTCAATTTAAAGTTGGACTTTTGAAAAACCCTACATGAATATTAGATTATTTTAGTTTTTGGTATTGTGACTCCACAAGTTTGTGCAAAACCTTGTCAGCTTCGTTCTTGCTAAGCTTTGAGTTGTGTTGGGCTGATTGTCCTGCTGCTGCACAATGAATCCTCCCTCACAAAGATGCAAACCAGCAAGGACAGGAGAAGTAGGTGTGCTGAGAGGGCTGCAGCACCTCCTACTGGCAAGTTTCTGTAACTGCAAGGCTAAAAAAGTTCCCAAAACAAATCAATAAAAATAGCTTTAATTTTCTGGAGGAACGTTTGACACTTGTATTTATTTATTTTATTTACATGCAGTGTCAAAAGTCTAATAATTGACAGGTTGATTTTAGAAGCAATTATTTAGAGCTATTAGTAAAATAATTAATTGGTTGTGAGTGACAACGAAAGGAAGTTGTGTACCAACGTTCTTCGCTGCCTGTTTGTCGATTCTCAAACTTCGATAATTTCCAGGTTGAAGTGAAAATATGAGAGATTTTCAATGTGATTTCAGATGTTAGGACCTGCTGTTGACTATTGTATTTGCTGCTGTATTCTTGAGCAGGATGAACTCCTCTCCATCAAGCGGAGCTTCCAGTCCCTTTGGCCCGGCCCAGGAGAAAGGTCCACTGGTTTCCCCTCAAACCAGCAGGAGTGTGAGTGACTGAAATATCTCTACATCTGATTGGAGGAGAATGACACACTTTTGGTTGCTATTGTTGATCTTTTTCTCAATGTGTATAAAGTACTTTAGCTCAGATATTTATGCTGTACCTTAGTTTTTTGAGAAAGTAAACTTTGGCCTCAGTACTCCTTAGACGCGTGTTTTGCACTTTTCTTGCTTGAATTATTTTGCCGTCAGTTTTAGTGCAATCAAATACATGGCTAGCAACTTGATACATCCCATGATATTCAGGTAGAGTGTTTATTCAGAAGTATACTGAATACTTATTGTTTCAAATAAAATATACATTAATCCTGAATAAAATGAAGGATTAAATGATTCCATTGTTTCAAATAAGTTCTAGTTTATATCTGATCTTTACTTCCAGTCTGTGTTCTGTAAACCTGACAGTTGAAGATTGGGCAAGAAATGAAGTCAGGGTCAACTTCTTGTAAAACCTGTAATCTTGGGTTTGAATACACACTTCAGAGAAATGTGAAACATTGGGTTCTGTTAAACATGTTTTTGTTTTTCCAGGCGTCCAGCAGAGAGGACACAGCAGGCAGTTCGTCACAGTCTCAGTCTGACTCGAGGACGGCAGAGGGCATGAGCAGTGCAACGTCTGAGAGCACAGGTACCGTCCACAAGTTAATTAATAATCAAGTTTGATTTACTCCTCTTCAAATAATAAGAAGAAATGAGCTGTGAGCACAAAATCAGGCCAAAGGCTTCAAAAGGCCTGACCTCACAAGTCAAGCTCTCTTTATATTGTTGACCATTGATTTCACAACTGCAGGCTTTTCCTGTTAACATGTGTACAGATGCAGTTTGGTTAGACATGATGTAAATAACACTAATCATTCCTAGTTTATACAAAGCACATTCATTGATTGTTATGTGATATATTAAAGTACTTGTATGAATTTTTCTAAACACCACAGTAAGCCATATACAGTATCTAAAGCTGACCATGTGTGTCTTTACTCTACACACTTTTATACTGACGTAGCTTGCTGGAGCAGCTAGCACTGATCTCAGTGATAGAAACACTTAATGATTAAGACTTTCTGAGACTTCACTTTTGTTTGAGAGACAGAAAATATTTACAGATAGTCCAGGTCTTAATGTCTGTATGGGAAGCTTGAAGTTGAGCGAACTGATTGGTTTCATCTGGCTTCATTGATAACCGGCTTAGATCCTTTTAATGCCAATTAAATGTTCCAGTCTGTGTAATAGGATGTGATGGTCAGAGGTGTCAAATGCAGCACTAAGATCTAATGAGACGAGTTCTCTGTCCGATGCACTTACAAGGTCATGTGTAACCTTAAGCACTGTTGTCTACGTCCTGAATGAAGCTCCTCAAATAAACTGTTGTTGTGTAGTAAGTCATAAAACTGCTTGGCGACTGCTGTCACAAGGATTTTAAAAAGAGACGGATGGTTAGCGACAGGTCTGTGAGTGGCTAAATCAACTTGATCAAGAGTCTGCTTTTTTAAGAAGCGGTTTACTTATATCATTATATCAAGTAAAGAAGTGTTAATTAAGGGTAAAATGTCCTTTAGCAGCCTGACTGAGGTGAAACCTGCCTTTCATCTGATAAGACACATTGAAATCAAGCAGTATGGCGCAACGTGGGGCGCAGATAGCACGTCATCTGAAAGCACACGAGGAAGTGAATGTTTAAAGGCAACAACAGTCAGTTTCTCTATTTTTTAAATCTGTTTATGGTTTTGCACGATGTATTTCAATGGAACTCAGAAACACAAAGTCCATTTTTCTTCAAGTCGCCTCTGCCCACTAAATTACAGCTGTTATCTCATTGGTTGCACTTCAGCAGCCACCATGAACAAGTTGAAATAATTAGAACTTGGAGCTCAGCGCTCGGTGGCAATTTTAAGGGGCTTCGCTTCTCCAGGGGAAAGTGTTCACACTGGTTTGGCACCGCCACTCTGATCATGTGTTGGTGGCTTTAGAGAATCAGACTTTACTGCTGTTTAAGATAAATATGTGACATTTGAATGCAGGAAGCGTTGAATTATCTCTAACGTGAATACATGGGTCAGTGGAGCTTTGACTCTGACTTTCTCCTCTGATTGGCTGTTTTCTGAGTGACGCACAGCCAGGCCAACCACATGTCAAGGACTGAGGCCTTTGTACTGTAGTTTGGTCAAACTTAAATGCTAATGGTGTTTCCTAGTCAGCCCGGCCTGGAGCTGAGGAGACAGTGTTGTCACCTCTCTTATCTCTAAATGCGACACACATCTTGTCTGGGGACACAAGGTCCCCTGACCGGTGATTTTCAACAGTATCTGTTTCTAAAGGAGGATTTTTGCTTGTTCTTGTTTTCTCTCAAGCAGGTGAACCGTCCCAGCTAGACTTGGACAACATGGTGGTGCCAGGCCTGAGCAGCTTTAGCAACGATGAGGCAGCCATGGCGGTCATCCTGAGCCTGCTGGAGACGGATGTAAACATGGGTCAGTCGGGTCAATTTGAGGACTTACACTGGCCTTTTTAGCGGGCACGCTGACTGTCCGCCCCTCGACGTGCTCTTGTGCCGTTTTCTTGCCATTTGCCAAGAACATGGGCGATCAGTCGTTACATTTTGTGACCGACTGATCTGAAGTCGCACAACTGAACCCACTGGTGTCAAGAGATATGCTGGCTGCAGACACAAGATGGGAAACTCAACCATAGAGGACATGTGACTTCAGTGTGGATGATGCTAGAGCATAAAGATTATTTGGCGAGGCATTTTGTTTCAGATGATTCTATTCTATTCTTCTTGCTTGAATAAATCCTCAGCTGAATAAATATTGAGATCACAAAACTGAGTAAACTTCCACTTCAAGTCGACAACTACAAATTTGTAATATAAATTGTCTTTGCATAGAAGTAAAACTACATTGAAAGCTGTTAAAATAACTTATGAATGTGTCATAGAAACAAATGCATCTGCTGTGAGTGTCACAAGTCCTGCATGGGTTAGGGCCACCATCTTGTGTCAACAGTGCGAACCCCCCCCCCTCCACTAGACTTTTACCAAAAGCTGCAACACGTCGTACTTGAGGAAACCAGATGTCGGGATTGACGTTTCAAGTCAATAGCTTCTGGTAAGACTGTGACTTCTTCAGTGACACTTCAGTATCTTAATGGGGGAATCTCGCTCTCAGCCTTTCCACAGCAGCCTATTCACTCTGCTGCCCCCCCTCCACCCCCTAATGAGTCACCAAGGTCTGGAGGAGAATCCAGCTCCCACCGTACTTAGTGCTGCTAGAAAAACTCTTTGTGGAAAGCTTGTGGGAGCCTTGGTACCCAGCGATGACGCACATGTGGTCTGATTGTTCCATCTCTTTTAAAGATCCCACATTTTAGTGCTGAAAAAAAATCTACCCCTCCTGATTTAAAATTGGGGAGCTACACTTGCACAGAGTGTATCAGGAAATACAAGCCCAGGTAAGTCTCACACTATTGAGTATGCAAAGTTGGAACTGGTCGTTGCAGAACTGTTAAGATCTATTTTAAAATTACTGTTCGCCCAAATGTTTTCACTCATAACTTAAAGGTCCAGTGTGTCAGATTTAGGTGAAAGGGATCTATTGGCAGAAATTTGATATAAAATAATCCTAGTGATGTTTTCACTGTTGTGTTTCATCTGAATTGTATGAATTGTTGTTTTCTTTACCCTAGAATGGGCCCTTTATATTTAAATACTTTATATTTACATGGAGAGGGGTCCTCTCTGTGGAGGCCGCGATGTTTTTTTTACTGTCGCCCAAACTGGACAAACTAAAACTGTTGAGTTTTCATGACAGCTGAAGTTCAGCACAGGTTCTCTTTCATGTTGGGAAGGGGATGGTGAGATGAGGAGTATTCAGCTGCAACATGCAACTTCACCTCTAGATGTCACTAAATTCTACGCACTGAACCTTTAAAGCAGAGCGCCAGTAACACACAGTTGGATTTTACCAGCTAGTTACAGCTAAAAGTACTGTGTGCTAAGCAGTCAAGCTGGGAGTCAGAGTCGAGGGTGCTGTGAAAAAGTCTTTTTTATGATATATAAAAAAATGTAAACATTAGAGTTTTTAGTATTAATTTAAAGGTAGGGTTGGTGAGTTGTTTCTGAAACTCTTTGTATTTGATTGGTTGAAATCCTCTTCCCATCCCAATAACTATCAATAGGAAAAGAAGCCAGTGTCCGTGGCCCTTTCTAGGCTGTCTTCACAGGCCAGAGAGACATACACAGCAGAAGCAGAGACGACAGTCAGGCGTCACAGAAAAGTCGGCTTCTATAAGTTGTCAGTCAGCGAAGGTTCATTTGTTTTGGGGTCGTAGTTTTGAGGAGAGGGCCGACTGGAGGGGGTGGGATGTGTTTGTTGCATTTTTTCAAATGTAACCTTCTCTTTCTAACTTTTCCAGGATGACCAACCCTAGCTTTAAGTGACCAACCAAATGTTCAATAGATAGATACAATTTATTTCAGTTTTAGAACATTTTATTCTACGACAGCAAACCTAAACACAAATGTGCTGCGTGTCGAAGCTGCGTAGTATTCAGCTAGGGACACAGATTTCAGGTTTATTCTTCATCAGAAGTCGCACATAAGATTATCTATGTCACGTTCTACCACTGTGCATCAGGTAGGCTACACAGACAATACACCAAATGTCCTAAAAATCAAGTATTATATAAATGCTTCTATGTTACTCTAGAAAATGAAATGAAATGAGTTTTCCTTAATTAAATTATTTTGCCTTGCAGCTGCATCCCTTGCCAGTAGGGGGTGTTGCAGCCCCCTTAGCTCCCTACTCCCCCCCAACCTTGGTCCAAGACCATCAAAACCAGCCAAGGGACCCTGGTTCAGGGAGTCGCTTTAAAATGGGACTATTTCTGTTTTGTATTAGAATAAATACTTGAATATTAACTTGGTTTACAATTTTGGCTCCACGAGGGCCAATCTTTAGCAAAACAAGAAACCTTCCCATTTTTTTAACAGAGGAATGTGAGAAGCTCGGCGAAAGCAATGTCTGTCAAAAGTTTAAAATATAAGTATCCACAGAAAAACTAAGTATTGGGGGGGTTCTTTGAAATGGACCATCTCTGTAAAGTTTGTCTGTTTTTAAATATCGAATGTGCACTAAAGGACTGAGCCCTACGATGCCTTTGCTGTGCTCGCATATCACACACTTGCTGTACTCTAGATGGCTCTGTGAAGGACATCTACTGTACCCTGAACTCATGGGAAAATGTAGAGGGTTCACCGTGCATGTGAGAATGTTTTCCAGTGTAAACAATGGACAAGCCAGTATTTTCTAAGACAGCAGTTAGTGTCATATCCTCGCTCCTTTCCCACCCTGTTCCTCTAAAAAGTATTTGCCTTTGACTGCACAGAAAAAAAGCCATTGTATTTATGTTGCTGGGGAGACAGTTATGTTGCTGTGCATCTAGTTTTGAGTATCCCATTGCCACACAAGCTTCTCGTAAAAGAAAAGTCGACCTTGAGGCATCACAATTATTTGAATTCTGGGTGTAATGGGAAATCAGTTCTCACACTAGCAATGCAGCCACAAGGCAGGTTGAGGGTCTGATTGAAGGGTACAGCCTCAGACGTGAATGATTTTGCTGCACAGCTATTTATTTCCTTATGACCCCATTCAAAATCAGTTGGGTAACACTGCCAGTTATCAGGGTCTGACAAGCTGAAGGAAGGGACTTTACCAAAAAGAAGTAATTTATATTTCACCACAACGTGACCCCTGAACTGTTCACTACACTGACATCCACAGTGTAAGAGTATGTGATGGTGGATTTTAAACCTGGTGACTGGCCTTCATATGTAAACTCTGGTTTTATCACTGGTTCCTCTCATCTTGAAAGCATAATGTGATTGTGTTGCCTTGAACACACATGCTGGTTCAGCACGAGGCTAGATTGTGAAAGGACCGCTCTTTGTCTTGAAAAGTAAAACTGTTGGTACCGGACAATATTTGCAGTCGCCACCAGTGCCATTGGAAATGGACACTAAAGCATTTTGAACCTGCCCTGCTAAAAAACAAAATGTCTGATGTTTGTATGTGCAAACTGTTGTTGATGTATCTGCTGTAACGAGGAAGGGAGGTTGACGTTTTTGAAAGTAAAACGGTTTTTCATAAATGGTCTGAATTCTGTAATTTTGTTACAGTTGTAACATTTCATTAGATCTTTTATTATTTTTTATTAGAGGCAGGACTCTCGCAGTGCTGGCATTCGCAAAAATAATCTGTGACTGATATTATATACTTAAATTATATACTGGTTATGCATCCATATTGGTGTCACTTGTCACAGAAACGTTATTCATATGCTTATATAACATTAGGCGTCTATACAATCTCATATAACATGAAAGCATCTAAACAAGATCAATAGTAGAACACACAGCCTTTATAAGCCTGATGTCATCTTGCAGGATGACCCACAACGTTGCCTTATGCCCCCTAGATGACAAATTAACTCAAGCTCTATGTTATTTCCAAATTAAAAGAGTGTAGACATGATGTTTGACATGAAGACATTTAACAGAAAAAATTTGGTGCCTCCACTCCCATCTTAGGAAAATAAATATAGATTATGTTATCATACTACCTCTTACAAAGACTAACTTATTGGAAGACTGTGATGATGCAGCAAGATGTGTGGAAATCTTAAAAGACAAAAAGTTGAGGATTATCCATATTTTTATTTTTATTTTTTAAGACTCATTAACTTCAGCTGCATTTCTAGACAACATCAAATAAGTGGCCCGATGATCGGGCTGCTTTGAGTGTGAACACAGAGTAACAATGAGTTGAAGAATGATCACGATCAATGAACGTTAGTCACAAAGTTGTATATGGAGACTGGTGGTGATATCAGAATTCTAATATCAGCACTATGGCTCATTCAATATTGTTAGTAAAATCTGACGATATGCTGATATTATGCAATTTCCGTCTTTAATAAACATGAAGTCATTTCTAGGAATAAATTGGTTAATTCAAATGTACGTTTGTAACTGTAGCTACAAAGGGATAAAACCTTGAAGTTACGTCATCATTTTTACTGATAGTGCTGCTGATGTCCGATTTCTAATATTAGCACTATAGCTGTGTCTCACTTCGGGGGCGCATCCTTCAGGGCACCCATTGTCGGCTGCATCCTTCATAGGCAGCATAGACTACATCAGCTGAACAAAAAATCTGGTCTCCTTATTGCATCTCCAGCTTGTCCAGCCCTACCAGCCGTCGCCTAGCAACAGAGCGAAAGACGAAAAAGTTCTTTATCTTTTTTGTTAGCTGTTCGTTTGAGCACTACCATTTAAAAATAAATTATTCTGATGTTCTCGTCTCGCTTGCTGCCGCAGGAGTGCAATGAATCATGGGATATGTTGGGCAGGGAAGGATCCAGCAACGGCGGTGGAAGGGAGCATTTGGAGGACAAATTGGGACTGCTGTGCCGCAATCGGTCTTCAAATGCAGCTTCTGAAGGATGCGCCCGGATTGAGACACAGTCTATGTCTCTTGTTCATTCATTTGTCTTGTGTCCTATTTAGGCAGCACATTTGTCTTGCCTTGGAGAAGTAGAACATAGGACCTATGAACACACCAAGCCTGGGGAACAAATAATATAATTCAAAGACATTACACATGGCCCTATCCAAAATGATATTGTTGTAGAATAGGTTCAAGACCAGGGGAGACATCACCAGGACTGGGAGGTATGAAATCACTGCTGGCACCACCACAATCAACACGTTAAGCACTGCCTGTCTCTTTAGGGTCGACTCAGTGCATCCTTTTTTTCCAATAGTGGTGATGGCGGGGCTCTGCTGCTGCAGTGACCGGATCACGCTGCCGAGGCAGGCGAGCATTAAGATGAAGAGGCAGGAGAGGATGATGGAGACAGGTAACAAGATGATGGTTTCATCAGGGACAAGAACTGTTAAAATCCAACAAAATGATACATTATTTTAACTCTGGAGGAAAGCTGCTTACTTTAATACACATGTAAGTAAAGAATGTAAATATATTTAAGTTCAAAATGTCCTTAGTGTAAATAGATTAAGTCATATGCCAATCAGGTTTAATATTGTGACTAGGCAGTACACACACACACACCACTTACATAAGTGGTGTATGTAAGATGCTGAGTATTCTGTGTTGTCCTCAGTTATATATACTATATTATTGTGTATACTGTACTTTTACATATTCTTATTCAGCTTATGTTTATATATTGTACAATAATGCAGATATCATTATACAAAAGTTGTATGTTTATTTTATACTCTGTATAATGAAACCCAACTTCCCCATGGGGATCGAATATTTCTGATTCTGAACAGTCAGCCATTTTGTACCTTGGCTCTTTACTTGGTGATCTGTAATTCATTATTTCCAAACAGGAAATTCAGCATTTAACCTCCACGGTGATGCGACGTTAGCCACAGAGTTCCTGTGCTGAACCCTCACGCTGCTCTTACTTGTAGCCACAACGAAGACCAGGGTGATCGCCCACACCGCAGCGCTGACGTCCACTCGGTACTCCCACTTCCTCACTTGCAGGTACAGCACCGGCCTCATCACTGCCAGGTAGCGCTCCACACACATGCAGGTCAGCAGCAGGGGACAGCCCATCAGGTTGAAGATGCTGCAGACCTTCGCTGCCTTTTCCAATGGATTAGATGCAATGAAACTTGGCCTGATAACGACTGAGAAGCGTGGTGGATCAACAGTTATGAAGGTTAACTTAGTATTGGCCGACATTATAAACTTCCAAAGCAAAAGAAAAAACCCATTTAAAGGATTTTATTCAGATTGGCATATGACAATTTCATCATTTAATGACAGTATTAGGAGATATAGTAATAAGAGTCGTAAAATATGGATCTGTCTCACAAAAAACTACATTTAGCTAGCATAGTGGACCATGGCAGTTGTGAGCTGTCTATTTCATCACTGACAAAACAAAAAGCTGTCTCACAACCGACTACAAACCATATGTCTTTTGCTGAAGTTGTCCAACAACGTTGTTGCAGGGTCGTACAAGTGTTGACTGTGCAACACAGAAACTTTTCGGGTCTCTATTCACTCATAAGTCGTTGCCAACATGAGAATCTGCACTTGTGGGTCTAACAAGGCCCTAAACATTTATAGTGACATAGGAACTTCTTGGGGCCAACCGCCAACCTATATCCTTACCTGACTGGTTTTTTATGTCCAATGGATCCATCTGAATTAAGCCAAGAGGCACCGTAGACAGGAAGATTAGATCCATCACAGCAAGATTCAAACCTAGAACCTGAAAGACAAAGGTTTTAGGTTTCAGAGGGGAATTCTTTGTTATAAATGTTTTGCTATGAGTTTGTTTTCAGTGCTCACAGAACAGCAAGCAGCATTTTCCTTGTTGGTGTTGAGTTTAATTCAAGTTCAAGGGATATTCAAGGGATAATTTGCAATGGTTTCTGGGATGCATAGTTTATTCACTCTTAAAATAGTTATGTGCACAGTCCTATGCTGTTGACTAAGTTTTGCTCAGAACGTTATATGGTCACAATTCACAAAGTAGCTCATCAGTCTCTGTTCAAAACTTTCAAAATGTAAAATAGCTTTTAAAACTAGAAAATTAATGAGAAATGAACTTCTTGAACCAGCGCCCTTCTAAATGTGTTCATTATTTGACTGGAGCTTTAATTCAATTAAGCCCAGCAGAAACTACCTGTTCCATCAAATCAAATAACAATATCTCAGATACCCGGATACATGGTACCACTGTACCTTCGAGGCAGACAGTGATTTCCTCTCCATCAGAAACAGCCAGAGCAGGGCGGCGTTCGCCACCACCCCTGTGATCAGGATGAACACATCCATGCCATACCAGATAATATCCCATTCCTCTTCGTCACACTGCTGATCTAAAGAATTGGATATGGTCCACGATTTGACCATTTCGCTGAAAAGCTCTGGAGGTATAATAGCCCTCTTAGACAAAACCTGCCAAGTCAAAGAGAGTGATTATCAGCAACTGATTTCATCCTGTTTTAATCATAGATATATTACTTATGACCACTGCAACTGTATCTGAATAATTAGAAATAAGAAGGTGGAAATGTCCTGAGAACTTATTCAGATTGTTGTTTGTGTTTCTTTCTGTCTTGCATTAAACTCTTGGACACATTTAGAAGAGTTATTTTTGGAGTTAACAGTGGCTTCGTATGCACTGAGTCAACACTGGGGAGAATCCCTGCTGATTCAACAAAACAGGGTCACAGTTTCTCAAAAATACAGCACTTAGGAAAAGTGCCAACATCAAGAACATGGGCACAGGCTCCTCAGTTTTCTGATATCTGGCCCTGCCCTGCACCAAAGGAAGGAAAGTCTGTCATTCAACCTTTTAAATTATTCATAAAACACTTTGTAATGGAACCAAAACGCTCCACATGGATGAATAAATGAAAATGTAGTTATATAGTTGTAAAATTCCACAGATGCTGAACTGCCTCACATTTTAATTTGTTAAAATAGTTTGAAACTCAATTCAAAGTCATATGATAGTATTCATCTTGAATTTCAATTTGCTTTTTCCTCACTTTACCTGTATTAATATGATGAAGACAGTACCTGTTTGTACGTCCTCCGCTCTCAGCCTTTAGTCATCCCAGTCTTCCACTCGCTGCTCCGGCTTCTTCCCTCAGAGCAGGTAGAGAAACAAATGAGCAGGTGGTGAGTGTTGATTTTCCACCGTGACATGCAAAGAAGTATGTTGTATGGAAAGTATGTTGTATATGTTTATCTCTGGTGATTTCCATTGCACACAATCTGTTTAAGGCCTGATTTTACTACCACAACGTTTTTCCTTTGCTTGCTTTTTGACTTGCTTCTTTCTTTCCTTTCTTTTTTAATTGCTTCTTTACATGCTTTATTTCTTTCATTGCTTTTTATTTTCTTCTTTCCTTTCTTTCTTTCTTTCCCAGCTTTTTACTTTCTTATTTCCTTTCTTTCCCTGCTTTTTTAATTGCTTCTTTCATTGCTTTCATGCCTTGCTTCTTCTATGCTTCTTTCTCTCTTTCCTTGCTTTTTACTTGCTTCTTTCTTTCTTGCTCTCTCTCTTCCTTCCTTCCTTCCATCTATCTACCCATCCTTCCTTCCTTCCTTCCATTCATTCATTCTATATGTATTTACTGTTGCTGTACAATAGTAAATACAAAATATGATCACATCTTTTTTAAATTTTTTTCCCCAGTAAACCAAAGCCTGCATCTTTCACACAAACAACACTTCAGCACATCATTCCTCCAGCCTACACATGTACCATGTCAGCCTCTGGAATCTTTATGACCTCCATCACCATCAAAATCTCTGCTCCGTCACTCAAACCCAGCGTCCGCAGACAAACCACTCCATCTTCGTCAAACGTCACTGTCGCTTTGCAGGCAAATGAGGTTGGCTCCTCATTTACAACTGTCATGACACAATGATGAATTAGGTCGAGCCTCTGGTACATTTCCCATCCCTCCTTCCTTCCTCTGCTGTTTCTCTTCCTTCATCTTTTATTCTCTCTCTTCTGTCGGAGGCAGCACGCCATGAAAACACAATGAAGCCTGAACTGTTGAACTAAACTATAATCTCTTTATTGAGCTTTTTATGGCAGTCTCATTATTATACAACAAACAGTACAAGAAATATCTAGGACTGTCCATTCCAAGCTGTTTAAACACCGCCCCCTTCAGAAAAATATAAAGTGCAGATTTGTTAGTGTCTCTACTCGAGTCCTTCTGTTAAAAATATAAAACCCCAGTGTAAACTAACGCGACAGTAAAGGGGCCTCACACAATTTAAAATGCTCAAGATTTAGGGATAATTATTCATTTAAAAAAGGTTCAGTAAAGAGGAATATCCACAACTGACGCTGAATTTTAGATTTGAAGATTTTGAGGTTATTGTACAGGTTGACGTGTCTCTCGTGGTTCATCCTGCTCAAACTTTACATATCAGTGCTTTTATGTGCACAAAGCTTTTGTCCCACAGCGGCCGACAAATCTATATTTTCAAATCATTATTTTCGTTATTACACACATACAGGACCTTAGTTATCCCAAGTAAGTTAATTATCCCAACCCAAGGAAATGGAAAATAAAACTGATTCATTATGTGACAATTATTTGCAGTTATCATTCAGCCCAGTGTTGATTTCAAGTCAGAATATGAGTCTTATGTTTTCTTCACGTTCCTAAAACCATTTGAGACTTTGCCAGAATATATATTGTAGCTGCTGAACATAAGACGTGTTTTTCTTATAATGATGTGACAGAATGAGTCAAACTCATAGCAGCTGGCATTTCACATTTCACATTTCACAGTGCTGTCCAGGAATCTCTATCGTCAATCTATTACAAATTATGAGAAAAGTGACCCAGAACCTTTTGTTACATCACACATGCTCTGTTCAGAAAGCAGTGACAAGTCTCTAGCTCTAAATCAAAATATTTCATATAGATATCTTAGTTGTTTTATTGAGGTCGGCATTAAATAACTAGACCTCAGGTAGGTGGACAGGGATCTGATCACACAATAAATATAGTCTATTTCAAAAGTCAACATTTCCAAGAGCTGCCCAAACAGTGGCGGCCATTGCTTGAAGTCCTCCTGCTTTGTGGTTTATTTTCTCTCAAGCATCAAAGGTTAAACTAAATTAGTAAAACTCAACATGACCCTTTGTCAATGGGCTACATGAAGCCGTCATTTCTGACGGCTTAAAGAAAGCAGGACTTCTTTGGAAGAGCTCCTCTTGCAGAGTGCAGCAGCCGTAGTTCAGTAGGAATTAAGGACAAAGAAAAACCTTCAGTGTTCAGTTACTTGTGATCCAGTCCAAACTGCAAGCATGCGGCAAAACAAAGATGCTTCTACACCTGACTGCATGTCCATGTCTGCACTTTCCCGTCATGTCTACTTTGGTTGCATTTGCAGCCTTCAGTGGGAGAAAACAGGGATGGAGGAGGATGGAAACAGAACATGCCTCCAGAACATGCCTGCGATGCTTTCTTCTTGTGTTCTCCTTCCGCGCCGTGCACAGGAATGTCACAGGGCTATGTCAGTGTGGCAGTTACTGCCATCGCCGCTGTGGAACCGGGTTGGGGTTGGGGTAGATGGGCGCCGGTGCTGGGTGGGGATACGGGGGCACAGCTGTGTTGGGGTTCGGTGGGTACGTTGGGGTCGGGTACTGTGCCATGAGATGAGGCTGGCTGCTGGCGCCTGTGTGGGCCGGTGAGGAGGCGGCGGAGGAGGAGGTGGGAAGGTGGAGGTAGAGAGGGGCGGACGGTGCCGACGGGGCGGAGGGCGCCGTTGGAGTGGGGACCCTCTGCAGGACGACATGCGGGTACAGCTGGGACTCAGAGCGGTAGAGTCCGGGCAGGGAGGCCTTCAGCAAACTCTCCTGACTCCTGCAAGAGAGAGACCCAAGACTTTTCAGCACCAACTGAAATTTAAATAACTGACATTAGAAAAACGTAATAACTGGAGTTTGGAACTGGATTAACTTTGGCCACACCTTTGCATGAATGTGACTTTTCTATAAGGAGTTGGTTTTGAAGCACATCAGCCTCCTGGAATCAACATTAAGTAATACCACCGCACAGACTGAACCCCGACACTGCTTGGGTCTATCTAACCAAACCCCAACCGGTACCACAGCAGCCATGAAAGTAGCCGCCATATATACAGGGCCCTGTTCCTTTTCTCTGGATGATGTTAAAGGAACAGACACCTCCTGGAGGTTTTTTTTTTAATGCTTGAGAAGGCATGAAAAGACCAACGATATATTTCTCCATCTGTCAATATCTCCCGACTTTTGTTCTTTATCTGAGCCCATGTTCAGTCATCTTACCAAAGACAAACATCTGGAAAATTGGATTTCAAATACTGTAGGAATATATATAATAGGAAAATACTGTGAAGGTCCCAGGTTTCTATATGTCAGCCCTGTGATGGACTGGTGATCTCTCCAGGGGGCATCCTACATCTCATCCAATTTCAGATGGTGTTGGCTCGAGCTCCCAGCGACCCCCAAATGCATGGATGCATGGAAATACTGTGTAGATAGGCTGTGTAGACTAATTTCCATAGACAACAAAAATGTTAACCGAGCACATCCACAACTTGGAAAGACGATGAGATTTGACAAAAACACGTGGTCTCTGAATATATACATCATGTCCTGCACGCTTTACCCAGACGCCACCCCCTGGTCTGAATGCTCCTGTCTGATGTGTCTGATGTGACATGTGGAAGATAAACTCCAGAACATGTCCAGACTCAATTTTCTTGACATTTTTGTGAGATGAGTGACTTGACTCCTAATTGGTTCCCTCCAGATGTGAGTGCTGATGTTTTACCTCTGGTATCCTCTGTTCTCATATCCCCCGAGGCCTCCGGTAAGGTAGAGGGGGCTGTCTGGAGCCAGGCGGGGGTTCATCCTCTGTGAGAGGTGGAAGATCTTGGGAGGAGGGAAGGCCTCCCACTCACCCTCCTCTCTCTCCAGCCAACACTCGCTGCGGCGGGCTGAGTGCTTCTCCCTGCGCCTGTGGAAGAGAGACCTTTATCAGTCCGAGAACAAAGCCTGGGTGTGATGGAGACGTTCAGCTGCATGGGTTCTATCCAGGGTGACTTTTAGGTTCTCTCTCCACCCTCTTACCTGCTCCGTCCTTCCTTCTTGGCTCGGTCCCGGCTCGATCGCTCTTGCAGACAGCAGATGAGGAAGGACAGGGACATGGCGAGGATGACGATGCCGCTCACCACTGACGCCAACACGGCCACTCTTAGTCCTCGGTCCTCTGGCCTGGGGATCGCTGATGAGTGGAAAAAAGACTGTGTGTCAGTATTCTGCACCAGATCCCAAGAAAATTCTAGTCTTGATAATCACTCAAAGCTCTTCACAATACAGTTTACATTAACAGTTGACGTCACATGATCCTTTGCCTTTCTGGCTCCATGTATTCAAATGATGTTTGTAGCACCTCTCCTGGTTTCTAACCTTCATTTTTCAGCTTTGATTCTCTTCATACAGCATGATTCTATTTCACATGACATGTTTGCATGTTGAGAGGAAAAGTTCAAAATGTTCCTTGAGCACAAAAAGTCCTTTACAAGAGACCTGCAACCTGATTTCATGCAGAACCAGATGTGAGAAATGAGAAGTCCAGCCATCGCAGTGGAGTAACCCTTGATACTGAATGCAGGAGAAAACAGCAACTTTCAACATAGACTTGCGTATTATTAAGTCCCACTTTGCTTTATGTCCTTGCTTGAACCTGCTTACCTTCACAGACAGGCAGGTAGTTGCTCCACTGTGGTTTTCCATTCCTGATGTTGCAGTAGATCTTGTCGCTGCCGACCAGCTGGTATCCCTCTCGGCACCAGAAGGCCAGCACGCTGCCGACAGACACGCCTGTGCCACTTTCCACGTAGAAGGAACCCCGACGTGGAGGCAGGATGGGGATACAGGACAGACCTGAGGAGAAACAGCAAAACAGCAGGTGAGCTCACAAACTCAGCAGTAAATAAATCCTGTCTATTTGAACTGGGCAGTTGGGATTTCTGAGTTCAGCTGAGCAGCTGTGTCCCCGGTGGTGGAGCGGGTTGTCCCCTTATGTGGATGACCTGGTTTACAAGTAATGAAACTCATAATATAGAAACTTGAGTGAAGTAAGTTAACGAGTAAAAGTGAAGTTTAAAAGTGAAGTTAAATTGTAGGAGTTAAATTTGGCTTTTCTGTAAAAGACGTCTCTGTGCATCATCGTTGATGATCGGTGGATCAAACCTCTTGGATTCTGAGATTTACAGCTGTCAGACTCCATTGAGGCTGTTCAAAATATCTGGATGTGATGTCTCATTGCAAAGGATTTAAACTTACCCATTACCTCTGTCTAACCCCTTCTTCTTTGTCTCTGTCTTCATCGTTCTACTTCTCCATCCCTCCCATCCCTCCCTTTCTTTCTTCTCTTTCTTGTCAAACACACACTCAGCTTGGAGCGTCTGATCTAAGATTATCAGTTACACTGGATCACTTCAAAGAGAGGCAGAGTCAGAAAGCTCTATTTTTATCCTCCTTATGCTACAATAAGCCAATACCTCTGAGAGGTCTCATGATACAGCAGCTGTTGTTGTTGCGCTGCGGGACGTTTGAGGCTCTCAGAAAATCTCACGCACAAAAACCCAAAGCATCGCTAACTGCACCAAACATCCCGTGTTTACTCAGATATACTGTTAGTGAGGCACGTTTCTGCACTATCGCAGAAATTGACCTGATAATATCTGCAGGGGTTTGACAGGGTTATTTCTCAATAGTGCTGACTCAACGATTTCTCAGTCAGCTGCTGGGATTTCTGGTTTTCACTTTACTGACTCATGCTTTGTTAGTGTGGTGAAGAAGATGAAGATGCATCATCGATGACAGGAGTCACTGATAGAGACAAACTTTCAGTAAAACAAACTATTCAAGCATAATATGCGACAGTCAGACGAGGTGACAGTGAGTTGTTTACGCTTTTAAATCTGCAGTGATGGTTTTTCTTCGGGGTGAAAACAATGCTTTCCTGTCGTCGAGTTAATGTGACGCAAGCAGCAGTGACGTAGCAATGTTAGAATTTATTTGAAGTCATATTTCTGTCCACTCCACAAATGTGAGTTTCTCAACTATGAGGTCTCCACCACCATTCTGAAGAAGGCAGGTACAAGCAATAAGAATAGCTGATTAGCTTTGGTTGGATATGGGTTAGGAGCAGTAAGAGTGAACCAAAACAATGTCAAAATTCCAAAATCCCAACAATCATCTGAAAAGAACTAAAAAAAATGGGAGTGGGACTGAAGAGTTGTGTGATAATGTCACTGTGAGAGACACTTTGCATATTTCACAAAGAGATTTATTACATTTTTAAAAAATCGTGATGAGTGCAGCCATCAAATGGTCATTTAAAAATAAATGTTGCTTTAAAAAAACATGATCGGATAAAGAAACTTACAGCACGGTGTTGGGTCTGCTAATATGTTTTAATGAGTAATGGCATGGGAAGGTCCTTGCTGTGTCAGTATTAGTGTAATCTGTGAGTCAGTAAGTGAGCGAGCGAGTGTGTGTGTGTGTGTGCGTGTGTGCGTGTGTGTCAGAAGAGAGAGATGTCATCCCAATATAAAACCCTGTGAACATGCAAGCTGCTCTCTGCTGATTAGGAGCGACAGATGGGAGGATTTCTGCAGCGGCGGAGAGGGAGAGGATCCCGTGATCCTGTGTGAAGATGACTGCATCCCCTCCCTCACTCACACACACACACACGCTCACACATATATATACACTGCAGACACGTGCGTAACGGGCACAGTAAACATGGACGAGCTTTCGAGAGGAGAAAGTAAAAGCCAGTCTGTTTCCCACCAGGAGAGCTCATACCCATAATGTCACACTGTGATCAGCACCTAAGCTAAAAGCTGAAGTGAATACTGAAGCATTTAGAGATACAGTTGTTCCAGTCGTTATAGCTTTAAATAACTTTTCTCTGCGTATATGACATATTATTCAAATCCCCTTTCTTCTATTTTTAGCACTGTTCACTGCAGGTTTTATTTATTTATCTATTTTAACATTTAGCCTGAATGTGATTTTATATTAAATCTGTCAAGAACATAAAACAGCCAGTTTTATAAAACTGTGACCAAACTGATATTGTTCTTATTATAGTGTCCCAGCACGCACAATATGTAAAGCTGCAGTAAGGATGGGCATTTAGTTTTAAATAATTCATGTGCTGCTTCAGTCAGGGCTACAGTCAAATCCAGCACATGTTGTCCTGTTAACAGAGATCATGTGACGTTCAATGAAGACTGGACACTCAAGCACGAGTCTGTTTATCTGCCAGTGCCATGTTCTTTTCTTTGTCTTCTATGCAACAACACCGTCGCTGTTGGAAAAATAATATATGAGGTTTGTGCTGATCTACCAAAACAATGAGCTGCAAGATGCTAACGTGCAGGAGAGAACATTTGGTTACAAACTATTATTTTGCCATCAGTGATTTAATGTTCAACAAGAGCATTTCAAGGGACTTTGGGGCCCCCATGGCAAAAGGGTTGTGGGGGTCGAAGCTCTTGGCAGAGGAAGCTACTGGTAGAGGGCCTTGTTAGGGGGTTTCTGACTGTGGTGGTGTTGCAGTCTCCTTTACATAGATGATCATTGCTGTGGATCAGATTTTCTCAAGGGGCCCCTCTCCGGTTGGGGGCCCCAGACAACTGACTGCTTTACTGGTGTTTACTGTATGTCAGCTTGTGATCTCACACACACACACACACACACACACACTCACAGAGACACACACACACTGCCTGCCAAAGAAAAAGCCTTTCGCTCTTTAAAGGCAGATAAAATATTGAACATATTTCGTGCGAGTGTGTCTTTTAAGACTCATGCTGTTTTTTTTTGCTCGCTGTTGCCACGCCGCAGCAGGAAACTCGTCCCCATTCTTCCAAACCTGCTGAGGTAACACCACCTCCCTGCAAGTCAACACGCTGTMGTAAACAGAAAACGAACAACGACACCAGTATGCATCGAACAAACAGAGCACCCTCAGAGGAGAGACAAAGATTAAACGTGTGTTAGTGTTGGTGTGTTGTCGACTAAACTATAGTTCAGCTGGAAATTCTTTGTATACGCACATTCATTTCATAGCAGGAGACTGACATGGGCTATGAGCACAGAAGTCTGTGTGTGTGCGTGTTGACTCTGTGCTCTATTTGCTTAGTCCTGTTGATTCGCTCCCATTCAGCAAGCTTCTCCTTCACTGTGGAAGCTGTGGGTTGCCACTCTGAGAGTTCAGCCGGCAACATGGCGCGAAAACACCTCTGGACAAGCCGACCTGGCAACCCAACACCGACGTCCAAACATCCCCTCCGCTGAATTCTTCTCTGAAACCCTCTCCACTCGTCTCTGTCAGGGGAGCACTCGGAATAGTTTGTGATTAAATAAAGATTAGGCTCTTTGCATTAAAGATTCAAACACGCACACACTCACGCACAATGGATGTACCCGTGCCCTGCACACATGTATGAAGAGGAAAGATCTTGTGTGGCCTTCAGCTTCATGAGGCTTTAAAGTTCAATACCTCCTCTAACTGATCACGACAGAAACACTCCCATCAACCAAACAATGCCAAGAAGTGAGTTACTGAGAAGTCCAACACCATTAATTGCCACGGAGACAGAGAATGATCAAAATCAGAGTGCAAAGTAGAGACAGGTTTATATATCTTACATTCAACACTTCCCATAATGCAACTCATGTTCATTGGACTCCTGCTAAACACGTTTGTCTTTTGGAGTCCATGCCCACTGTGTAGAAACGTGCAGTACCCCTAACGTCAAGTGAGACTCAATACACACAATACACACATGCCTTATACACACACATGTAGGTGTAAACTAATGAGTGCTTAAATAAACACAAGGGATGTCACAAATATTGGACATTTGTAAACACAGGGAGCTGTTTGAGAGTGAATCTGTGAAGCTGATTGGAATATTCATTCAGTTGGTGATGTGTGCATTTGTCAAAGTGTTTTACATCTGCACACAAATCATTGTATGCATTTGCAAACCTTGTTTTTCACTTGTACACCATGTAGCACACATTTGTGGCCATTTTCTCTAAATTTTATTTGCTTTTGTTTTATGTCCCCATGATCTGTATAATGCGCCCATCAGCACTTCCCCCTAAAAACTGCTGTGAGTAGAAGCTGTGGGTCGTGAAACTAAAACAATGAGCTATACAGTTAAGGGGAACTGCACAGTCACATGGTCTTTCTCTTTTCCTTTCTAGCTATAGCCCCTTTTCCTCTAGTCAAAAAACTCACTTCCACCCACCTGGCTATTGTCTGAAATGGGAATGGATACATTCAGCACATACCCACTGATTTGGGTTTAAAAGAGGTATACGGCTGTTACCTTTCATATAACACTCAATAATTCAGTAGAAATATTAAAATATTAAATAGAAATATCGAAATATTTAATTGAAATATTGAAATATGTAATAGAAATATTGAAATATTTAATAGAAATATTGAAATATTTAATAGAACTATTAAAATATTTAATAGAAATATTGAGTGGTGCAGCTTTTATTGTCTTATCCTCAGAAAATAGGACCTTTGTCATGATTCTGTCCTCTGTCTCCTTCGTGCTTTTCTAGTCTCCTAGTGTTTCTCTGTATTTCGTATCTTGATTATTGGACTTCAGTTTTGTGACGCTGCTTTGTGTGGTCACCATTTTGTACCTTTGCCTGTTGGACTGTCTTCCTCTTACCTGAACCTAAGACCATCTGCGTTTGGGCCCTCGCCTGTCTCTGCACATGATAACCTCAGCAGGACTCTGTCCAAAGGTGACAGAGCCGACCTGCCAGCACCTCTAAAGCTCACTAAGTCCGTACACACCTGGTGTTAACATGTGGTTTTTGTGATCCGGTCACAA